GGTCAAAATTATTTTCACCAGTATGTAAAACATTAGACAGTGCTTTTTCAAAAAAAAAATTCATTACACAAGTAATGAATTTTGTTAACGTTTTGAATGAGCTATGGAAATTTTTAACCTGACTGAATAAAGCTGTATAGAAAAGTTGAAAAAAAAAAAAAAAAAAGAAGTGATAAGAAAACAAAAATAGGAAGAAAAGTTGAAAAAAGTTTAAGTAAGAAAAGAAAAATAGCCTGACAAAAAAAAGGTGTAAAGGAGGAGCTAGGAAGAAAAATATTAAGGCAAAAAAGTTGACAAAGAGCATTAGAGTAATGAAAAAAAATTTGGGAAAAATTGAATACAATATTAAGTATTACAATTAATTAATTACTCTTTAACTACTACTCTTATTTTTTTATCATAATCTTTGGAAAAGCATACATTTTCCTTTCATTTTTTCTTTATTCTTTTTTATAAATCCTTTTATTTTTTTTATATTCCTCTTGTTTCAACAATTAATTTTCTGTTTAGTTATTAGTGTTTCTTTCATCTACTTTTCTTTTCTGTTCATGTACAGCACTTTAAATTGCTGTGCCACAAAATGTGCTTTAGTAATAACCTTGCTTTGCCTTTTATTGTTGAAAATATGAGTAAATATGTGAAAATCAATAAAACAGTATACCTTAATCTCATTTTGATAACCTTGAATTATTTTTGTGACTAAGCTGGGTTTAATATTAGAATTTCTGGTCCCCTTATCAGAAATCTACTGTGGATCTGAGCTATCTTTGATTCAGTATTCTGCCAAAAGGACGTATGCCTAATAAATACTGATGCCAGCACATTTGTTTGATCCACACACACATTAACTACTTTACAGTGTGTTACACGTGCAGACTTAGTACCACGTGACTCCAGTATAACACACGCACTGCAGCATGCTCCTTCTAAGTGTTGTCTTGCAGACGACTTTGATCGGCTACTACAGGAAATCCCACCTCTTTAGACATCAGACTTTCTTCCTTATTGGTACCAGTAACAGTAGCAAAGCATGTTAGAAACCAACGCACAAACATTTAACCATAGACGACAAACATGGATCCCAACTCTCTATACAAATTTAAAATATTTATGTTTATTTCTACAGGAATACATACTACTCAGATCAATAAATAATATAAATACTGATATAAATAATGACAACCTTTCACCTGAGCAACCAGAAAAAGGCTCATGCCCGAGTAGGAGAGAGACTAAATAATAGTCTAAATAATAATAAAGCATGAGAGCTCAGAGAATGTACTATGAGCGCATATGTATGAATTCAGCATATATAAATAATTTAAAATATGCATGGAGGGTAATTTATGTACATATGTATTTAATACGTATGAGTATTTATTGTTTATTTACCTTTTTGGCAGAATTCTGAATTCGTAGAATAGCTTTAAGCTTGACTCTTTGGTCAGAACCTTATTCTCTTTCCCCAAACAGAGACTAAACACTGCAAGTTAGGCTACTGACTGCTGGTAACAGCTCCACAGAACCACATTAAAACTGATTTTTAACTTAAGTTTAACTAATTACTATGAAACACTCATTAATATTAACTGATCATATTCTCAGTCTTACTTTTCACAAATTTTTTTGGTCCTACTTATTTAATTTCCTGTAAAATTATAGATACTAAACATAAAAAGGGATCAGTATATTCTAGATAAGGACAGTAAATCCAATTTTCAGTCTTTCTGCCTGCTTTAAAAGTGTCTGATTTTTGGCTGTTGGTCTTATTCATGCTGTGGGACCCGCTGAGGCTTTTTGAGGAAGTTGCTGAGTGGCCAGCTCATTACGTTACATAACGCTCTCTTGTTTCTGCTGGTGTGTCTCAACCTTTATGGTTTTTGAGTTAAAGCTCAGCAGGCGGCAGGTGGAGATAGCAAAGCTCAAACAAACGATTCTGTTACATATTGATATCTCTCTGGGTTGATTCTCATCTTTCTAATGTTAGGTCAGTACTTCATACTGTTGAGAAGAACTTTAGTTTTGTGTTTCAAAGGGAAGTATATGCCTGCCTCTGAACTTTCTTTTTCTTTTCTTTTTTTAATGCATATCCACCCAGTAAGAAATAGACTGTAAAATTATTTCTCATTTCACTCTGTCTTCTTGTTTTCAGGAAACAGGAAGTTTAAATATATCTAGTAAAAAATAAATGTGATGAATGTAAAAAATTTTTGGTTTGAGATACACAGAAAAAAAATTCAAACAAACCAACACTTTACTTTTTTAATCTAAAATTAGTTATTAGTGAATAAGTTTTAATTTGGATTTGAGCTCTGAGAAGCACTGATATCTGAAGGTTTGCTTGATTTAAGAAGATCAGAGCCTCCCTGGGAGTGATGATGGTTTAAGCAGTTCCTCTGGGGTTAAAGGGTTAATCTTAAGCGCATCCCTTCATGGCAGCTGCACCTGGAAGCTAAAAGCAGAACATTTACCATTTCTTTATGTATAAAAACCAACAAGTTCTGATGCAAAAGAGGAAAAATGTTTATATTACCTGTAAAATGATGAGGTCTCATGGAAACGGAATATCTACATGATGACGTCCATATTTGAAAGAACTTCCAGCGAATGTTTCCATCCTGTTTTCTGACTAACGGGTTCTCTTTCTGTTATTTACCAACCAAACTGCCGTTTGAAACAAGCTTCTTATGTTACTAAGCAGTTTTTCAGAACCTGTTTATGCAGGAAAATGAAAAAGCACTTTAGAAATGTGCTGTTATAATCAACCATCTCCTATTTTGTTCCCTTTTAACTGGTAGTTTTACTCTGGGAACAAACGTTCTGATATTTTCTTTCCGCTGAGATGTGGTTCTGTATGGGAGACTTAGAACCACAGAGGTTCTGATTGTCTGATTACCCAGTTAAGCTGACAGTCTTCTTCTGAGTTTGTTTTATTGGGCTGAGGTTTCACTTTGACAGATGGGCTTTTGTTTCAGTGTCAATTAAAACAAAACTCTGAGTTGGATCAGGAGAAAAACTAAATCATCCAGATCCTGGTGGAGGTTGTGAATGATTTAGTTGACCCATCTGTGGAAGGTTTCAACTCAAACTGATAAAACAGATCAATTATTAAAACTGCCTAAATTGAAACTAAACACATTTACATGTGTGGGATATGCTCACTCAGAAGGTTTGCTCATGTTACCTCCACCCGGAGCCAATGCACCCAGTAGTGTAGAACCATGGACTGATTCTTGGACTGTTCCTCCAGGAGAAGGACAGTGCTCGGAAGGTTTGAAGGGAAAATGTTCCAATGCCATGCAGATGTCTTCTAATGCAGGCAGAGGGAGGAGCTTAAGATCACAACTCATATACAGGTAGAACTAATTAACATTGGTAATCTACTGAAGTGTTGCTGCATTTAAGTTGCACTTTTTTAGAAGCCTCTTTGCTGAAATAATACAGAAATAAGTAAAACATAGAACCAGACCCAACAGAGACATAATGAGCCATGTAGAGCAGGTGTTCCCAAACACTTCAGCCTGTGGCATCATTTAATGGCACATGTATTATGTAATTGTGCATTATACAAATTTAATTGTAGGTTTGATATTTTAATCATGTATCAAATATCAAATAAAAACATCTACTCAATTCATTTTTTTTTTTATTCATATATATGTATTTTATTAGATATTTATATTCTAGTGCAGCCCTAAACATCACTGCTTCATTCTGGGGGATTGTTGAAGCTCTCAGATCCATCAACACCAGCATCTTGTTCAGGTCACCTGCTTACAGACATCTTTCTGAGGAGCTTTCTGAAAAGGTTTGGCGAGCTTTTATCAGGCTTTTGCTTGTTATAGGAAGTGATGACTCAGTGGTTAGAGAGCTGGCTGTTCCTTGAGATAAAATCGCTGATGCAAAGCTCAGACTGTCACTCTGGGTCCTGGAGAAAGAACGTTCATCTCTGGGTGCATCTCGGTGCTCTCTTTATTTATGACTCCCATTAATTCTGTTAGAGACTCACACTCAGCCTCATTCACCAATGTACCTTCGTTAGACTGATCTTGGGTTCTTCATCCTCACCTAGGATACTTGGACCCATAAAGCAGGAATTGCACTTACAACCTTTCCAATGAAAGATGCCTTTTGTTCTCACACACAGCTTTAAATCAGATTGTGCACATCACAAGATTAGAGTCTGAAATGTTGCAGGGAATCGCTGGGTGTCATGACTCAGAAAAGAGGACCCAATATTCGAGACAAGACGGACAGTGGGATAGTTGAAAAAGTATTTATTAAAACAATGGATGATTGGAGTAACAGCAGCTGGGATGTCTATCAGAGGAAACTTTGTAAAAGGAAACACATGTTAGTGACCACGTAAATCCAATGGAGGATGATGTGAACGCGTGAGTCTCTAACCTGGTTTAATATTTCAGCCTGTCCTGGGTAGGATCCAGCCGGTGCGCCTCCCAGAGTATTCCAGACGCAGCCTCAGAGAATATGCATGAGTCTGAAGCCAGTTCAGGCAAACAGATCAAAGCATGACCAGGCAGGCTCAGAGCTCCAGGAGTCCAAAGACAGTTCAGGCAATCCGTTCAGACGGGAACAGGCAGGCTCAGTGGTTAAGGGGTAATCAGAAACACTTAGGTACACTAAAAACACTCTCACCACTGGCCAGAGACAACAAGAATAATCTGGCTCTGATGACTGGATGCAAGCGGCAAGAGGCAAGAGGCAGGAGCAGGTGGATCAGATGAGAGGTAATGAGTAACCGGGCAGAGTTAGACAGGTGAATGGAATGAGTAATTAAGCCAGACATCAGTGCCAAGATCATGACATTGGGATGCAAGGTGCTTTACATTAATACTTTGCATACTTACAATGTATTTTGACTAACGTTCACTGCATCCTAAAGCTCCCATCCAGCCATGGGAACATTATGTATTGGAACATTAAATTAGCCATGGGATCATTAAAAGTAACATCAGAAACTTTCTTTCTTGCTGTCTCAGCTGCAGATATGGCTCGCTCAGGGTCACAGGGCGAGATGACTGAGTACAAGAAGATCCTGATCAAACGGGATCTGGAGATGGGCGTTGTCATGACGGTGTTTCGGCAGAAGGCGGAGCGACTTACGGTGCAGGTCATCATGGAGACCCGGCAGGTGGCTTGGACTCGCACTGCAGATAGAACCGATGGTGTCTGTGAGTTTATTTCAGCTCTTTATTCAATCACTTATTTTTCCTTATAACGCAAATATATTGTAGTGAGGCACTTTGCTTTATTTATTTATTTATTTATTTATGTATTGTCTATATAATTGGGAGAGATACAAAGATACAACATTTATTGTTAGGAAAACAATCTGATTCTTGTATTGCAGTGTTTAAAGCCAAAGCCTAATTTGCAAAACTCATCCTTAGAAGGATTTTAAAAGCAATTAATACCAAAGTATTCATGGGCTTTGTTTGTAAATTTACCTATTTAGACATTCACATCAATATTTTGGGTTATTTAACATGTAATAAGATGGGTGTTAACGTCACTATATGCATTTCCACACTAAACAAGCAATTAGCAAATTAGATATTTATTTATTAATAAACAACAAAGTAATCATTTAAATGTTTAGGTCCAAGCTAAAGATTTATTTTGTAAATTAAATATTAGCCTTCAAAATAACAAGTAAATATTTCGCTTTAAAACAAAATCTTTTGTTCCAAATTATTTGTTTCTTTTACTAACCAAATATTTAGGTTCAAATTCAATACTAATTTCACAAACTAAATATTTCATTTCAAAAGCTAAACATTTCGTTAGCTATCGAAATATTTATTTAAGCTCGACTTAAACATTCAGATCGAAACTAAATATGTTAAAGTTAAATATGAAGTTTATAAAATGAATATTTTGCTTGCTGACTAAATATTACGTTTAGTGCTGAATATATAGCTTGTTAAATAAGTATTTATATCTCAAGTTATATATTTATTTCCAGAATATTTTCTTTAGAAACTAAATATGAATTTGTAAACTAAATATTTAATTTGGAATATAAATACTTAGCTTGACTGAAACAGTTAGATTGGAACTGCATATTTACATATTTGAAAGCTGAATATTTAGTTTTAAAAAGAATATTAAGCTTGGTAAATAAATATTTAGTTTAGCACTAAATATTTAGCTTGCCAAACTAAATAAACACTTGATTGTATGTAGTTTGTGAAATATATATTTAACTTGCTAAAAATTTTAAGTTTGGCGATAATTGTGAATTATTTGCTTTGTTTGAGAGGTAGTTTATTATTTAGTTTTCAATATTTTTATTCAGTAGGTCAATATTCTGCATTTGGTGCATATACCTCTCCTATGAAACTTGAAAGTGTTTCCCAGTAGTGAAGCACATAGGGACTGTTTTTCAGATGGAGAACTATCTGGGTGTCAGACATACAGTTGGATAGTACCTCTGCCGATTGCTACGGTCACATAGCAGCTGCAAAAAAACCTGCGTCTTCCAAATAGAGCTGAAAACTGGCTCATGTGCAGAGCAGAGGCAAATCATTTATAAAGTGGTTTAATAGCAAAGGAATTTTCTCTCATGATTGCAAAACCTCATAGTGACTAAAAACCAGACGGTCTAAAATGCTTTAAAGGGTCATAAAAGTGAAAAGATCTTAATTAACACAGATTTATACTTAGTCCTGCTTTTACCCTATTGAGCCCTCCAATTCCAGTAAGAGTATGAGCACCATCTGTAAAATAAGGTTGAACATTGTTTTTACTCTTATTATTAAATCCCAAACAAGATGAGGCTTTAGTGTTTCTAAAACAATCAACAGATACCTTTTGCACAAATCCCTACGTGTGAGAGCAATCTAAACACTAGAGCACAGACATGGTTGACTCTGACACCCATCCTTTTGTTTAAACCTGTCATATTTGGTATCATATAAAAGGGAATTTCACCTTTTCATTGTTGTATATCAGGTCCTTATAACACATTTTTTCAGAGGTAGTATTATTTGCATATATAGGAGGTTGTATATCTTCGAGTCCCTGTATCATTACACTCCGGACTGATGGTAAAAGAGCATCATACTAAACTTCTGCTCTAGACCTAATATTTTTTCTCAAAATCTGATCATTTTTAATGCAAAAAAAGGATATCCGGCAAAATCCTATGCCAACGATTTGAGCAAGGTTTTTGTTATTTTATGTTTATAAATGGCATTTTGGGAAGATGCTGCAGCTTGTGTTTGTAAATAGACCCCAGACCTTCTCAGTGTGATTTAAAGTGATATATTAGTTTTCAATAGTTTTAAATTACATACTTTTTTTTGAACATTTGTTTACATTATAAAGTGATGCATCTCAATAACCCAGATTTAAAAAAGCAAATCCAAAAAGGATTTGCAAGTAACAAGTGGTCACTGTCACCTCAGTTTATCTTTACAAGTGACTTTGATGATGAACTACAGATACTCAGATACACCCGTTAAACTAAAGTCATCTTTAGCTTCATATTTTAATGCTTGATTGTTTCCTCTGAAGCACTTTGGGATTTTTCATCTTTAAAAAAAAAGTTCAATGATGAAAGAAAAACCTACAATCAGTACAATATTAATCAGAAATATGGCAAAGTTCAACAAAACAGTGGAATAAGACCAACAGAAAGCTCTGCCTGTAAAGAAGAAACCTCAAAACAAGCAGTGGGAACCAAATGAGAATTTTTTTAGTCTTGCCTTATCAGAAATAATTGACCATGTTGCATTGATAGAGACAGTAATAATCCAACCCAACCTTTGTGTTCTGTTTCAGTGGACCTGTTTGAGATCAGAGAAATCCGACCAGGCAGGAACTCCAAAGACTTTGAGCGCTTTAAAGACGGGAAGGACAAACACATCGAAAACACCTGCTTCACCATCTTCTACGGCTCCCAGTTTGTCCTCAACACCCTCAGTCTGGGAGGTGAAAGCTGCTTTTGATCTTTGTTAATGGAAGCCTTATTAAGGTCTTCGTTTTGCTGAAAGCTGCTCTGCATTTTTCACTCTCATAGCAAAGAGAACCGGGTCTCTTTTCCATTTCTTCACTGCAAAAAATATAAATCTCAATAAGTTATTTTTTCTTAAAATAAGTGTGTTTTTCCTTGATTTGAGGAGGTAAGTAAGACACTTTGCCAATGGAACAAGACAATTTCCTTTTAAAATAAGAAAAAACTATTTTATCGTCTTATTTCAAGTAAATATTATCTAACTATCTTATTTTAAGAGTGAAAATACTCATTCCATTGGCAAATCATCTTATTTACCTGCTCAAATTAAGGCTAAATATACTTAATTTAAGCCATTTTTTACTTATTTCTGGATTGTTTTTGCAGTGTTTGGCTTGAATATCAACTCAGCTTTAGAAAATGTCACACACACATCAACATTGAACAGTATGGCAGATCTTTTCCTCCATTCATTTACAATATTTGATCAATGATATCCATTAAAAACTAAAATCATTGAATCAGTTGCACTGACACTGGGAAACAGCAAAAGTGGTCCAAACAGTGTGCCCTGAGGAGCAGAAAGGGAAACACTGCTCTGGGTGGCTATTTGAGTAAATTTGCCTATCTATTTGCATGTTTCTTTTAAATGTTGATCAGCTGTTTTAGTACAGTATATATTTTAGGACATAAGCGCTGCTGTTTTGTTAAATAAATGTTGTCTTCCAGGAAGCAGGTCAATGAACATCAGTCCATTGTTTTACTTCCAGAGTTAGTCAAAGGTTCAGCTTTTAACAAAGCAGACAGAAAAACAGTATTTCTACAATCTCTCCAGCTGATTCTGTGGAGGAGGCTCAGAAATGGCTGATAGGACTCGAGCTGCTGAGAGAGGAGACACTGGCAGCTCCGACCCCAGTTCTGATTGAGAGGTAAAGTCCTGTTCTCATGGGCTCAGAAACGCTCCTGCAGCTTTTCATCCTTCCTCTCTGTTTGTGTCTTTCTCCCTCCAGCTGGCTGAGGAAGCAGATGTACTCTGTCAACCAGACCAAGACCAACAGGTATGGACCTGATTTTATCCCTGATTTTACATGATTCACAGTAAATCTCGACCCTGTGAGGTTTAATCTTTTTGCAGGGTGCGTTTTATTGGTTGATTGTCAGCAACATAATACAGGGGCAGGCACAAGGAAAAGATTAAAAGCTCTTTAAACATTTCTTATTAATATTAATCTAAAAAAAAGTGTGACATTTGTATTTTTATAAATATGTTTAATCCAATTCATGGGTCAAACCACTTTTTATTCTTATAATTTACTACATTATGTCTAATACTTATTGATTTGCCACAAACGTTCTAGTTTCTAGTGAGGAACTAAACATTGAGACATATGTGGGAGGTTTTATGCTTCTCTGTTCACATGGAAAAGTACTGTTCTGAAAATTTCTTTGGTTGATTTTTAGTTCAGGAGAAAAACAAAAATGAGATCTAAAACAGTTGCTGAAGCCATAAATATTTTCTGATATTTAATGTTCAATTCGATGAGCTCTGGCTAGTTCAGTCAAGCTTTTTTCTACTTTCACCTAGAGATAGATTTTAATATTTGTATTCATGAATAGTCTTTTACTAGCACTTGTCACTTTTAGCCACCTGCACAGGCTCAGCCTCGCACCCAGCTTGGTGACATTCCACATCGCCAAAACCAGTTACAGTATATATAGTTCGATTCGGTATCCGCCACTGCACGATGCCAATTCCTCTTTACTCATGGTTCCCCCTGCAGGCGGTTGGCTCACTGCACTGAAAGCTTTTCATCTGGGACCACTTAGGTCCTGTGAGGAGGAACCTAGCAACAGGCATTTGCAGATTATGTCCGAACCCAGGCATGGCTCCAGGTTGAGCTCCAAACTACGGACATCATTTGCCTAGTTTATTGGCTATCATAAGGACTTTTGAACCACTCTTTGCCTTTGAAATCCATACATATCAACACTGCCAGTGGAAAAATTTTAGGTGTAGTGTTAATTAAATAGTGCGGGGGCTGTATTAAAAACACACAGCAGTAAAATAACACTGCCATTGTAACCTGGGACATATTTACTTTCTTAGATTGGAATGTTAACTGTCTGCTGTTTAGTTTAAGCCATGCCCTCACGTAATGGCTGCAAACGGCATGACCTAATTTCCCATTAGTATTTAGATGCTTAGTAGTCAATTTTTTAGCATTAGAAAAACATATTTAGGGGCGTGCTTCAGTGGTGCAGTGGTTAGCGCGTGGAGTCCTCGATGTGGCCGACCATGGTTTGAATCATTAACACATGTTTTCCTGTTTCCTTTCCTGTTAGCCCACTGTAGAAAAAACAAGCCACTAGTGCTGTAAAATCCTCAAACAATAAAATAAAACAGCTTTGGTGTTGGTATTGACAACACACTGGTGTTAATTTTAACATTATATTTTAACACAAACCCTAAACACCACAAACACCACACCCAGTAGTTATTTTAACACTAGCTCATGCACATACTGTCTGGATACATTTTTGCTGTTAAAGTTAACACGGTGGGTGTTAGATTAACTCTGGCATTTTTGCTGTGTAACAGGGAACACCTTTATTTGTTGGTGGGGCCCTGGTGCTTGGATGATCCCAGAGTCCCCTAGCAAGGGCACCCAAGCCCCGAAACCCAACCACTGAGTCAAGGTGTCCGTTCAAGAAGGGGAATTAATTTATAATATATTCACATAAAATCTTTTTAGTGTGAAATGTGTGTTCATTAAACTGTATATTTAACCCTTTAAAGCCCGATCCAAGAATAAAACAAAACATAAAATTACTTTTTTTTGGTTTGAAGTCCTTATTTGGCCTTTTAACAAAATATGTAAAAAGAAAAAAACAGAAATAATCTTTTGATATTAATAATTTATTACTATGCGATAAGTCAAGATTATTTTTTGTGTAGTCTTCTGCCCTCCGTTATCAGGTATATCTGATTGTGTACAATAGGATTTTGAACAAAGTTTTTACCATTAAATTATGCAAAAGGTGTCAGACGCAAAACATTTCAGAAACCGTATGTATCTAATATGATACATTTGGCATTACAGGGTTAAAAAAAGTTAAAAAAAATTTGACTTGAATTTTCTGCTAACCTTCCATAACAGCTTTTTTGTCCTGAAACGCTAATTCTCACATGAGATGCAGTCATGGTTTCCAACAGATGAAGCATCTTTTTCTTTCTGTGTAATTTGCAGCCTCTCAGTGAAGGAGCTAAAGTCTCTACTACCGATGCTGAACTACAAGGCCCCCAGCTCTAGAGCTCTCAAAGACAAACTAGTGGTTGGTGTCTTCTAAGCTTTGGATTTCAAGATCTTTATGAGTCAAATCTGTTCTGCTGCTTCAACTTGAATTTGGAGGCAGAATCCAGGATGTTTCGTTAAACCGTTCACAGCTTTTCTGTTCTGTTATCACAGGAAGTGGGAGCCAAGAAAGATCGCCTGGACTTTGAACAGTTTCACAAGTTTTATAACCTGATTATGTTTGAGCAGAATGAGGTCAGTGTGAGGGATTCTCTCTTGTAAATATGTCCTTATTGTGGATTTTACAGTGCAGCATTTTGTTTATTGCTGTAATTATTTTGCATTCAGATCTTGGATGAGTTCAAAAGGGAAGCTTGTTCTTTTATTCTGGGGTGAGGTCATGTTTCCTTGTAGTTTCATGATGTTAATCAAGTATTCTGGACCAATAATTTTCTTGACCATTTGTCTCTTTAACCCATCAGAAATACTGATAAATTGGATGCTTCGGCTGTTCTGCTGCATGATTTCCAACGATTTCTCATTTATGACCAGAAGGTGAGTCACAATTGCTGGTTTAACCTATTACGCATCAACTTTGTTCAACCATAACAAAAGTTTAGCAAAAATAAACATGGACTAATTTATCAATGCATGGAGAACTCATTAAAATTAATAATTTTAAAGTTATTTATCTAAAATGTCCAGTAATCCAATGACTCAGTAGTTGTGTGGATCAGTTTAAGCATAGAGCTGAAAATGTGTAAAAAGGCCTAAAAGAAGGATTTAAAACTGATTTTATTTCATCAAGCTGACAGTAAACTTGATAAAAAAAAGTTACTTATTTTTCAACTTAAATTATTAATTTTGCAAAAAATATCCCATAACATGAAATAAAAAAAAGGGGGGGGAAGTGTTCAGCATGCTCCCCTCAAGAAGTATAAAAACTAAAAAAAAACATTTGGCTGTCAAGTATTAAAGTAATAACCTTCCACCTCCCCAAGATAAAAATGTGAAACGGCAGGACTGGGCATTTTTCAGCCATGCTTTTAAACTGGAAAAAACAGGTTAACATGTGATTTAAAAAGGCAGAAATGCACTGATGTGCATGAAACATAAAATAACTGAGAGAAATCAGCTTCTAGAAGCCGGGAAACAGTACTAGGTTCTGACCCATATGAACATTTCCAGACCTCCTAGGGACCTGCAGCAAACAGTGGAAGCCACTTCTGTTCTGCTGGTCTAAATGGTTCTGTCTCTGTTCTGATTCTCTGTGTTTCTGTTCAGGAACTCTGGGCCAATGATCTAAACCAGGTCAGAGAACTGATGACCATCTTCATTGATGACACCATGAGAAAAACCAACGACCCTGAGTTCACCGTCAGCGAGGTGGTTGATTGTTCAGAGATTTCTACTAACTTACGTCTGGTTTAAGCGATAGATGAAATAGGCCTCATGAATCTTTGACAAGGAGAAATGGTAACTGCATGTTTTAACTCTGGTCTCTGTTTCCCTTTTCAGTTCCTGAGTTTCCTGTTTTCCAAAGAGAATTCAATTTGGGATGAGAAGTATTCTGAGATCAACAACCTGGACATGAACAACCCTTTGTCCCATTACTGGATCAGCTCCTCACACAACACGTAAGTTCATGTGAATGTATGGGAGAAACTAAGTCCTTTTCAGGCTGAGGACATGTCTGTCCACAAATTAGATTGACCCCTGGGTCAAGTTCAGCCTATGCCTGAGGTAGATAAGTTCTAGTATCTTGGTTTGATGTTCATGACTGAATGCAGGAGCATAAACACGTCTTTTTTAGTAATGAAGGAACTGCTTTTGACATTTAATTCAAAGCTCTTCCTTCACAAGTCTGTTTATGTTCCAATCCATCTCAGATGTTCTGAAATATGGATCATTACTGACTGAACTAGATCTAAGCTTCCCAGAAGCTAAATGTTCTTCCTGCTTTGTTCAGCCTGGGATGGATGCAAGGATGGGTGGATGGATGGATGGATGGATGGATGGATGGATGGATGGATGGATGGATGGATGGATGGATGGAAAACAGTTGCCATTGTCCTGACTGTTACCTTTGTACAAAGAGATTATCGTGACCTTTTATAACCTCCCAGCTAACTTAGCTGTAGCTAAATGATGCTAATGCGGATCAGATACCAGGTGATCTTCAGAGCACTCAGATAAAAGGTGCTTCAACAAAGAATTATTATTATTTATTACTTTTACAGCACTAGTGGCTTGTTTTATGGACAGCAGTCTGAGGGGGTATGAGAGAAGGGGAGAGATATGCAGGAAAGGACCACAGGTCAAATTCGAACCCAGGTCACCCGTGTCGAGGACAAAGGCCTCTATACATGGGTCATGTGCACTAACCACTGCGCCACCAAAGCATGCCCCCTCAGAAGAATTAAAATCTATAGAAACCCCCTACATCCTCTTATATTTTAAAGATGTGTCACTTTAAAGTGCTTGTGACATCATTTCCCTTATAAAATCAAAAATACAACTACTGCCACAGTAAAAGTGAAAAGTCCTCAGTTCAACCTGATGTCTACATGAATTGTTTATAATTGAGGTTTGTACAATGAACCATGCTGGAGCTCCTTCTCAGCGTAGCTACCGATCAACTTTGTACGGTACAATTCTGACAAAGAAATATGCCAAGTTTCAGTCACAATTGTCTTCTATTACAATGCAATGTTAAATAATACCAAATGTTTCAACATTCATGTGCTTTTCTTATGTTTTTTGAATTTGAAGGAAAGGGTTTTATTATATATCTAATCTGCCACCTTGGCTGTGTTTTGAACAGGTACCTGACAGGTGATCAGCTTCGCAGTGAGTCATCCACAGAGGCTTATGTCCGCTGCCTGCGTCTGGGATGTCGCTGTGTTGAATGTAAATATTAGTAAAAAAGCAGTTTTTACTAAGCTTTAGGCTGATAATAAGCAGAGTGTGTCTGATGCTTGCAGTGGATTGTTGGGAGGGTCCCGGAGAGCCCATCATCTACCACGGCTGGACCAGAACCACCAAGATCAAGTTTGAGGATGTGGTCAAAGCCATAAATGAGCATGCTTTTGTCACTTCAGAGTGAGGCTCACTGTAAATTCTCGAGTCTGTATAACAGGGCCTTAAAAAAAGTGCAGCAATTTTAAATACGGCAGATGAAAATTAAAAGATTTCTCAGAAGTTTCTCTTCATCTGTTCTAAGTGGTTCCTCACATCCACCTTCTCCTTCTTAGCTTCCCAGTCATCCTGTCCATAGAGGAGCATTGCCCCTTAGAGCAGCAGCGTCAGATGGCTCGCATCTTCAAGGAAGTCTTCGGAGACAAACTCCTGATTGAACCTGTGGAGCACATGGCCGAGCAGCTGCCCTCACCTACGCAGCTGAAGGGGAAGATCATACTGAAGGTACCAAGAGCTGGAGCAGACTCAGGGGTTGATGGACGATCTCCACCAGTGAGGAATAACCGGCCCGTATTTTGATCTCTCACAGCATAAGAAGCTCAATGTGGAGGGAGGAGCAACAACCAAAGACTTTAGAAAAGGCCAGAGGCAGGGAGACTTGGAGATCTGGGATCCAGTGGATCAGGTACTGTTAAAGACAGACCATCATAGTTAAAGAAACGCTCTGGAGATCTATTAACTTTTGAAGTTCTGCTTCCTGGGGCTTAGTTTTCATTAAGCTTTTATCTTCTTGCTTGATCTTCAGAACACCATTCCTAGGTTCTATACAAAATCTTCTCTAATTTCCAATTTCAGATCTAGAGAAGCTTGGGCTTTCCTCAGCTTTCAGATAGAGGTTAATCCTCAAATCTTTGGCTTCTGTTGCTTTGTGCTTAAAATAGTAAAATTACAAGATCCTCTCTTTGACATTAGCTGATGAAAAAAATTTAAATATCATTTTTTTTTAAATATCATTTTTTTTAAATATAATTTTTTTGTTTTTTTCAGCGCTGGAACCGACACTACTGTGTAATCTCTGATGACAAGCTTTACTACGCAGAGGAGTACGAGGAGGAAGAGGAAGATCCCCGGAAGGTAAACAGCTCATTTTTACAAATGGATTTAAAAACCAGGAATAAACATGGACTGAGAACAAACTTTACAGACAATAAAGTTTAAATTTTCGCTTTCAATCAATGATTAATGTATAAACAAGCTCATTTAAGAGCAGAGTTTTAACTGTTTAGGTTTGAATGGCTGAATGTTTTCAGTGCATCCATTTTGACAGTTCTGTTGACTCAAAATCAGGTCCATATCTTCTGTTTCCATGGAGCCAAGAGGCTTTTAGTTCTCATATATTACAGTTATTCTGAGGAACAGAAAATAAAAGCATGTCTAAGTTTTCTGCTTGTACGGGTTTATTAGTTTTGTTCTTATCAACTGTGTAAATTAAAGATCATGGAGGAAATGCTTTTTTCCTGACATGAGTATTAAAGCATTGGTTTTCTCAGTACCAGGAATTGCACTGTGCAGAACCATGGTTTCATGGTCGCATGCAGGAGGGTAGGCTGACGGCCGAGCGACTGATCCATGACTACTGCGCTGAAACCGGGGTACAAGATGGCACCTTCTTGGCCCGACAGAGTGACAGATATGTCAACGACTACACCCTCTCTTTCTGGTACAGACTGAACATTATTGGCAGATTTTTTTTCCCCCAATAGTTCCTTTAGATGTACGTATAAACACTAAACTATGCAACCAATCCTGCTGGATGTGTGCCTTGCAGGCGCAGTGGGAGGGTCCAGCACTGCCGAATTCGCTCCACCTCAGAGGGAGGACACACCTACTTCTTCCTGACCCCTAACCTGCACTTCTCAAGCATCTATGCTCTGATCCAGCACTACAGAGAAAACCCGCTGCGCTGCCAGGACTTTGAGCTGCGACTTACCGAAGCTGTGCCCAAACCTGACCCTCACCTGCAGGAGGGGTTCGTCCAACAGCTCAACAACTTATTAACTTAAATCATTTTATTCCAAACTTTAGCTATGACAGTTGGCATGAGACCTTGCAAGTCCATGAGGAAACAGAAAGCATGTTACACAACACCGATAAAAGCAGGTTATCTCTACATCAAGGTAGAGATACACATGAGTATGATTATATTTCTTAAAGCAGTTGGAACCGTTTTTAGAAATAACATAATTGCAGCTCACTTGTGTTTAAAGCATCTCCGTGCTCCTAATAGCTCTTCTTCCTTTTTTATTTTATAGAATTTCTGTATTTTTGATATAATATAATGACTCAAAGAGTTAACAGTGTGACCCCGGAAACATTCTGACTGATGATTTCTAAGATCTTCAAAAGGCTATTTTTTTAACTACAATTCAACAGAATTTCACATATAGGATATCTATGTCATGGCTCAGAACAGAGGACCCAGGATTTTAGGCAAACGGACAGGTGTAATTCTCAAAAGCGTTTATTAATAAATGTCAGATCTGTATTTCAGCAGCTAGGGTGTCAAAGGCCGGAATCTCTCAGAGGGAAAACTCAGGTTAGTGACCAAATAAATCTGATGGAGGAGCGTCTGAGTGACTAACCTGTCCATAGAGTTCAGCCTGGACTATCTGGAAGATGAGGCATCAAAGCCGGTGTAGAAGAGGTTCACAGGAATCCAGACCAGAAGATCAGAGATCCGAAGACATACTAAGAGGCTATCCAAGTCAAAGTCAGGAGGCAGATCCAGGTTCAGACCACAGGCAGAAACAAGCAGAAGTCCAAAGACAGGTTAGGCAAACAGATCCGAAACAGGAACAGGCAGGTTCAAAGGTCCGAAGGCAGAACATGTCAGGATCACGCAATCAAAAAACAAACAGGTACACTGGAGAACTCTCATCGCAGGGTTGAATAACCTGGCACTGATGACTGGGATTAGGCAGATTAAATAGAGACAAGAGCAGGTGACACAGATGAACAGTGATGAGAAACTGGTGAATGGAGTAAACAATTAAGCCAGTCATCAGTGCCAAGATTATGACAATCTAATTTTTACTTTAACCCATTTTTTGTCATTTACATTCCAACATTGACATGTAGCTTCTCTTTCTCTGTGAAAAGTGTTCTTTTGTGCCAAAAAAAAAAAAAGTTGTCATAAATAGACATTTTAAATAAAAAAGTGATGGTAGCATTCTTGTTTCTGTGCTTCACAGATGGTTTTACAAAAACCTGAGCAGAGGCGAGGCGGAGGATTATCTGCTCAGGATCCCCAGAGATGGAGCTTTCCTGATCCGGCAGAGGGAAGGAGAACAAGACTCTTACGCCATCACATTCAGGTAAAACTGCTCTGCGTGTGTCCCTGATTTGAGGTTGGAACTCAGCTGGAGCTCAACCTAAGAAGGATTTGCTCCTCCTGATCAAAAATAAATTGTTGATCAATAGAAGTAGGCCTATATAAGTTTATTTATCAGAGAGCTCTCATTGTCAATTATAGAGATAATGGAGATGGTTTGAGACGCCTTTTTTGGTCTGTTCTTTAAAATTTTAAAATAATGTGGGTTTTGAGGTTAAAGTTAAATCATTGTTTAAGATGCCCCCATTTTTAGTAAAAGGATAAATAGCTGAAGTATCTGTTTGCAATGTTCACACATTACTGTTTGATGGTTAAAAAGGGGAAAGCGAAGAAAGTAAGAAAATTGATTGAAAATGAATAAATAAGCAGGAATGTGATCGAGCTATTCCAACCAGATACCTATTTTTATGAATATAGATTCAAATTCTTCTGCCATTCTCTTGATGTTCTCTCTCCTCCAGAGGTGACGGGAAGGTAAAACATTGTCGGATACAGAAAGAGGGGGGCGTGTATCTGCTGGGCACCACTACAGAGTTCGAGAGCCTGGTGGAGCTGGTGAACTACTTCAAGAAGAAGCCGCTGTATCGTAAAATCAAGCTGCGGTACCCGGTCACACCTGAGCTGGTGGAACGCTTCAGCACAGTGAGTTTCTGTGTAAAGGAGAGAGAAAATGTCCATATTCCATCCGGAATTATTAACAGGTTATATTATGATTATAACAAATGATTCTGCCACACAGAACGAGAACTGTTCCACTATATATATGGAAACATATGTCAAACCCAATGAGATTGAGCCTTCATTGGTACGTAAACAGCTTTTATCTCTGATTATTACCTGTGACCTTTTCTAATCCTGCTGTTAATCAAACTATTGTGTCTCTTTAAGCCCCAGAATACAGTCCGAGCTTTATACAGCTACCAAGCCAAGAGATCAGATGAGCTCAGCTTCACTAAAGGGGCTTTAATACACAATGTTTCCAAAGAAATCGATGGATGGTGAGTAACAACACAACTAATACAATGTACAGAATGGCATCTTTTAAAAAACATATGATCAGACGTGATGGAAAATGGTTGAATAATGATCTCTGATGACCTAACTGTTTGCTGCAGTTATAAACTGACCTGGTTAGTTAAGTCTCTAAATAATAAATTTAATCCAGGAATGTTCTGATATGTCCATGTTCTGGCCTGCATAACCACATAGAAGACTGCTGACTGGAAGTTGTCTCAAGGTTTTTCCCTAGAGGAGCTAGTGGTTCCCATAGTGTTCCAGCAATATTAATGGAAAGTGTAGTGGAAGGAAAATGTCTGATAGAAGAAGTAAAATGGATAACTGCAGCCTTGAGAGCATTATAGAGCACTGAAGAATTTAGAGGAGATTCAAAAGGTTTCATTAACTGCTCTCAAGAGGTAGACCAGAGACAGAAGGACCACCAATGCAGAAGAGCTCAAGGTTGAGCTCACACTTCACATTCTTCCAACATTTCCGATTATTTAGACCAATTTTCTACAATGTGCTCCTTGTAAAGCAGATTGTAAGATAAAATAACCTGCTAGCAGGAGGTTCGAGCACAGATCACATGATTTGGGGAAGAGGCAAAATTTCCCAGGGTTGCCTGAATGACTAACTTTTTGTATTTATTTTTCATGTGTTTGTTGTTCTTTTTTATAATTTGTGTTTCCTGCTGGTAAAGGAGATACCAGAAAAATTAACTCCTCCCAGCCAGTGAGTGGCTCACCCACTCTGTTTCCAGTCTTCAGTTGTACTCTTTACAAGTTGGTTGCCAGCTCCACCAATGCTAATGTTAACCCTAACTTACCTATCCAGAAGGAAAGATCTGCCCTCAGTGTGGCTTCTGAGCCATCTTGCTCCCCTTAGTCAGCACCAACATTGAAACGCTTGAATTATATTCACCCTTAGTTAGTTTCTTTTCGTTTTTTTGTTTTGCTTGAATCTGAGAAATGGCTTCTTCTATATGTTAAATTTCTCTGCTATCACAGAGCTCCTTGGCAGCACCCAACAAGACTTGAACCTACTATTCCTTTTGGTGCAGAATAATTTTTACCAACATTGACATCCTAACAACAAGTAACTATTTATATATTTTGGACCTCCATCCATCCATTATCTGACACACTTGTCCCAATTGGGGTCGCAAGGGATGCTGGTGCCTATCTCCAGCTGTCAATAAGCGAGAGGCTGGGTACACCCTGGACAGGTCGCCAGTCCATCACAGGGCAACACAGAGACAAACAGGACATACAACCATTCACACACACACTCGCACCTAAGGAGAATCTAGAGAAGCCAATTAACCTAACAGTCATGTTTTTGGACTGTGGGAGGAAGCCGGAGTACCTGGAGAGAACCCCACGCATGCTCAGGGAGAACATGCAAACTCCATGCAGAAAGACCCCGGGCTGGGAATCAAACCCAGAACCTTCTTGCTGCTAGGCAGCAGTGCTACCCACTGGGCCTTTCAAAATGTATTAAACAATAATGTATATACCATTATTTTTTACAGTGAAATTAATTATCCTATTCTGCACAACTCTAGATATCCCGTGGATGTATAATTTTTTTTCATTTAATAGTTGTAAATATGACCTTTATATGGTATATATTCTTGGTCAAAGTCGCCTTTCTTTGACATTTCTGACTTATTCTGCTTGTTTCAGGTGGAAAGGTGACCACGGAGGACGGATGCAGCTGTTCTTTCCTGCAAATTACGTGGAGGAAATCTCCAACAACACCCAGGCTGACGCTAGAGCTCAGGTGGAGATCAGAGTTCAGGTTGTCACTGGAGCTCAAACCAGTGTTGAAAATAACTGAAAACATTATGTGTGTTTGATATCTGATAACACAGGAAATGGAGGACAACCCTCTGGGTGAACTTTGCAAGGGTATTGTGGACATATCCAGCTACGACATTCAAAGAAGTAAGCGATCATATGCCTTTTTCTTACTTTTTCTTTCCCCTCTTTTCTGCTTTAAAGCAAGGCTGCTGGGTTTAACATAAACTTGTCACTTGATGTAAAAGTACAATATTTAGGTGTTTTTTTATTGAGAGGTACAATCAGATAATCTCATCCATAGGGTGTTATGGATAGGTGTGTGATGGGGGGGTTGATGGTCCTTTGCAATTGTAATAAAACCACTAACTTCCATAAATGTTCAAATCTAGAACCTGCAGCAAAACTTGGACTTTATTCTTGTAGCTCTTATCCATACAGGTGCTGATATATACATTCACTCAAGGCTTTATATTAACACCCACCAACCTGACAAATGTGGGTGAATTTCATTTTTGGCGAGTCGCACAGCCACTCCTACTAGCCACTTTAATGGGCTGGATTCTATATACTATTTTCATTTTGGTTTTCTCAAAAGTCATCTGAAATAATGAGAAAATCTAAATGAGTGAGTATGCAGCAATACATCTCCCTGACATAGTGTTGCATACTCACATGCTGGTGAAGCATCTCAGTCTTCAGGTCATAGTCATAGGTTGATTGAAAGGGGTGTAAAAGAAGCCATTTATGTTAATAGAGAAAAACCAACCTAAACAGAGGGGTGGATTAAGGTTTCAGCTCTCAAAAACCTACAATGCAACAATAGTTAGCCTGCAATTCTAGTATCAGGTAATGCAGTCTAACAAAAAAATCTCAACGATTCCTAAGGGGCAGGCCCGTTCTTCCTGTTCAATTTGCATGTTTTCTAAGCCAAAACAAGGCTTTTTTGGGGGCTATTCTTGGACCTAAACGCTAATTCTGACATATATAGACATATATAGTGACTTAGTTATATTATATTTAGTGACTCTAGTGACTTTTATCTTTTCTCCGAAAATTACTAGCAGCTAGTGACTTTTTTCTGTGTCATTGGAGACTTTGGTGGCAATACATGAAAAACACTGTTTGCTCTGAGTTTGATGGTCTTCTTTTGAGAAGAGTGAGGTAGCGAGCCTTTCCACATGAATTACAGGGAGTCAATTGCAGCTCTGCAGCCAATGGAAAATGGTGGAACCCAGTTTACCATCACCCTAAGAGGACCTTGACCATGAAACTCCAACCCAAGGAAACATAATGAGCAGTTTGCCCACAATGACAACAACATTAATATAGAAGCTTAGACCATGGGTACCAGCTGTTGAATAGGATGGTGGCAGCAGCCTGCTGCAGGTCTGTGGTACTGCTTCATTGCACAGAGTAGATGTAGTGATGAAGATCCAATATTTTCAAATTCCTCAACTCCTTCTCAGGATAAATAACTGGACCATAAAATCTGGATGTTCCCTTGGGACATTGGTCCCAAACTGGTTTTGCAACGAATAAAGCAGTTTACATGAAGTTTATGGAAATCTAAAAATAGTGGACTCCTTTCAAAATCTTTTCACGGGTCAGAAAACCCACCAGTTCAATTAACATTATTATTTCTCTTTAGAGGAGCAGTCAGATATTGCGTCAGAGACTGTTACAAATGTTTAAAGACTCTCTGCTAACCTTATAAGAGACATTTAACTCAGTTAAGTTGTGTAGAAGGGAATAGAATAGAACAGAACAGAACAAAACAGAACCCCGGCCTCCAGAAGTTCTTAGGATTGAAACCCTCCCTAGGGTCTCTCTGCTGAGTTTATTCATTGTGCATGCTTTGCTTATCTCTGGAATAAGCCAAGCATATATGTCCCACACTAGAAATAATTTTCTCCAATTACTGTGTGTGCACATGGTTGTGTGTCGCTGTGTTGTTCTGCAATGGATGTGCTACCTATCCAGTTTATACTTCGCCTTTGGCCCAAAGGCTTCTAGCATCAGCCTACCCGCCATGACCCAGAATGAAAAGCTGTATAGAGGATGGATGGATAAACAGATGTTGCATGCTGTTGTCCTTTTGCTCATCTGTTCTTGTTTGTCTGCAGTGAAGGGCGGTAAATACGGGAAACCACATGTGTTGACCCTGCAGAACAAGGAGCAGGACAATTTGCAGTTCGACCTGGCCACTAGCACCCCAGAGGAGCTGTTCAAGTGGTACCAGGTGGCCTGGGACATCACCACAAGAGAGATGAACAAACAGTACAACAAGGAGCAAGAGGTGAGAATGTGAGGCTGTGATAGTGGGTCATCCATTAATAGCTGTTCACGTCAGAGCATTGAAAGTGATGTATAATATTTTATTATGGATGGCCAGGGAATTAAACAGAGAAAGACTTCCACCTAAGAAGAGAGAAGTGCTTTGCCTTCAAACTGTTAAAACATTTTAATCAGCAGAGATAACAAAGAATGAAATGACACACAAAGACATAACATAATCAACAGTAAAAACAACAAATATTCTATGTAAAAAGAAGACTTAAAGCAGGATAATAGCAGCATATACTAGTGTGCTTTTCGGTAAAAATAAAGAGGAAGAAAGGAAGGAAGTTATAGTGCAAAAGGCCTCCGTTTGTCCAGCAGTGTCTGAATACCCCGGCAGTGAGGTGTTCATTGAGTTCATCAGACACACCTTGGGGAAAAGATTTCATTTGAATTCAATTCAGGTATCTATACAGCATTAATTCACAACACATAATCTCAAAGTTCTTTACAGAGACGATTCAATTAAATAAGATTGGTTTTAAAGTTTCTGTTAAAGGAAACACAGCTGATCGCATTGATCGCAAATTGGGGGTCAAGGAGACAGAAGCAGATCCACAAATACTTTCCATGCTAGAAAAGGTAATGATACACTAGCCCACAAGTGGTTCTGTCTATGAAAAAACAGATAGAGGTTAAGTTAAGGGGTTAATTTAGAGCTTGAACTCACAAATAAAGTATCTGTGTCAGTTAATTTATGCCATTAGTGCTCTGTGGCACCACCCCGAAAGCTAGAATCTAAACTTTGACTGACTGGGATGTGTGAGGTCTGCAGAAATGTTTGTATGAGCAGAAATTCCAGGTTGGCGGTATCCTCTGTCGACCTGTTTGCCTGATATGCCTACATCAGGCCCAGCAAGGGACCTGTAATTTCATTCAGAGGCTTCAGCCCTCCACGCTTAATGAGGACAGGTCTTTAGTCATTAGGTCATGTGAAGATGTGTTTATAACAGGAGGCGACTGAACACTATTACGTAGATTTGTCGAAGATTGTCAAGACTCATTTTTTGATTAATAAGAAGGAGGAGAGAAAAATACTTTATTTTACTTACAGTAGAAGATGTATTATTCAAATGGTCATATTTCTGACCTCCTCTGCCAGTCGATCATCAAACTACCCCTCTCATAACAGATCACTGTACATTTTTTGGCCTCTAAATAAAGGCGAGTTTCATACCCAAAAACAAGAGGGGAAAATCATCTCTGCTTTTTTAACAACATACACCCAGATTCTGACAAAGCACAACTGTTCTCACACATGCTGTGAAAAAAAGGTTCTGGCTAGACGTGTTGAGAACATTTCTCACTTCTTGTTGAGTACGCAACAAGCTGCATATGTGAAGATGGGTGTCAATAGGCTCTATGCACAACTCCACCACTTCCTGAACTTCAGGAGGCTCCTTTGTTTCCTGTCTTTCATGATTGGATGCACTGATTAATCTAAGTGTGTATGACCTATGTAACTGGCCAGACACACCTGGATTAATCAGTTCGTCCAGTAATGAAAGACAGGAAACAAAGGAGCTACCTTAAATTCAGGAAGTAGTGGAGCTGTGCATTAAGCCCATTGGTCAACACGGGTCTTCAGGCAGAGAGGACAGACACCACCAGGTGCTTGAGCTGTCTTCCCCTTCATATGCTGAAAGGCCTGATTTTCCTCTCCCTCTATTATCTTATATGAAGACAGAGGCGCAAAGGAGAAGAGTTTCTGGAATGTTTGCAAGTGAGTGGGGCAGGTATACCTTTTTGTGTTAAGAGTGAGGTATCCTCAGCTTGGCATCGGCTAGATGTGGTGTTCTAATCAAAACTTTTTGTTTGTTCCTCATTTGTATTGTGAAAATCCTCCCTTTTAATCAAACACAGCTCCCCAGGTGTGAACAGAACAATAATTTATTGTTGTTGAAAGTGCAAAAAGTTTTGGTCAGTGCCCATGTCTTCAAAGAGGCTGATGGATGATGTCACTATATCTGTTAATTGGTTTAAATCAAATGCTGAAGCTTTAAAATTATTCTAGTTTATTCAGTGACGGTACTTTTAAAGCTTCTCATCTTTCAATATTCCCAATCACTCTTTTAATTTTCTTCCTGTAAAGGCTCCCTCATACTTGCGCATAATAAGGTTCAAGGGTATTCTATTGAACTCAAAGCCTTCACAGCCACACTATGTGTCACAATGACAGTTGAGTGGTGGGTGTATTAAAGGGAAACTGTATAGGTGCTACCACTGAGCATTAAAGGCTGGTTTATCAGAACAGAATCAGAAATACTTTAATAATTCCACATATATATATATATATATATATATATATATATATATATATATATATATATACTTCTGCATATATATATTATATGCATATGTATAACTATGAATCCAAGTTAAGTGATACACTTGATGCATCTATCGTCCCACATCGAACGTTGGCATCACTGCGTTTTCAACGTTTTATTCTCCTTGTGGCTTTTCAGTGCTGTACCTAATATTCTGGTCAGAGTGTAGGAGGACAGACTAAAAGCTTACAACACCATGTTTAGAAGTGAAAACAATTATTTTTGTTGTTGACATTAAGTTGATAGTGATGATATTCATAGGCCAAATCATACAATATTTATAGATTTTTTTATATTTGCAAACCTTTTTCTGAAGGAGCTGTTACTTGTCAGCCATTTTATTCTACATGAAACTGTCCTTGTAGTTATACATTTTCTTAGGTGCATGGTGCAACAAAATGGTGGAGGAAAATAAAAAAATGTAATTTGGGGACCCCACAAGCACGTCAAGCATTAACCAACCTTTAGACAGATAAATAATTGATTGTATATGCAGTTTAAATGCAGGCCCAAATGCAAAGAGGAAGAAGATGGTCTTTGGATGTTTAATTTAGTGGGGGGAAAAACCAAACCTATCTACCCAGAGAAGAGACTGAGGAGAGAGAAAATGTCATGATGGGCTTTAAGGATCTGACCCACATGCAGAAACACACTCAGAAGCCAAGGGAAAAATTTAACAGGTTTATTGTGGTTTACAAAAACACAGAATGAGAGATATACAGCTGGGTAACACTGTTGGACCTCAGCGGACTGGTGAACCGGAACCGGAAACACTGAAGGGGAGATCACAATAATCAGTTCAGGGACCATAGGAAAAATGACTGAGGCTTGTAATTTGCAGGAGAGGCTCTCAAGTTTGGGGAACTCTTGGTTAATCTTTCGATCCAGTTTGTGGGGTCTTATCCAGAGATGAAAGAACTCGTTGGAGGGCGGACAGGCAGACTAACGTTGGGTCCAGAGTAGCAATGGATCAGGCTGTCACCGGGTTTTCCTTAAGAGGACTTGAACTGATCATGTGGAGGTTTCCCCTTGCTCAATTGTGACTCAGTTTATCCTTCTAGGGGGGTAGAAGGTCCAGGCTTATGCAGTGGATCAGGAAGGCTTTCTGCCAGAGAATAAAGACAAAGCAGGCTTAAACTCAGAAAGACAAGGCTAAAGGTTAGACTCAGCTAATCTCAGTTTGGCTAGATTACCCAATACTGGCAAACACTCTGGCGTCGAGGTAGTGACAGCCCGCTGCTCAAATACTCCTCTGGTGATGACCCAACGAGCCGCAGGTGTGCAAGGAGGCCCAAACGAAGACAGGGCACCAACTAGTGGTGGAAAAAGAAAACACAAAAAAAAAACCCACACAAACTGGATTCCTAACAGAAAATGGCAGCAGGGGGCACATTTTTTGGAGGCAAAGCAAACAGAGAAACTGGGAAAATGAATCTACCAAAAAAAACAAAAACAATTACAGATAATAAATAAATAAACTTTGAAAATACTGAACTAACAGAAAGAGAAACTAAGGAATACACAGAGTAACATTAATCAAAACTAAAATCAAACCCCAAACCATGAGTCCTTAGAAACAAATTAAACCTAAGTATGTTTTTTCTTTCCAGTTGGAGACTCTGAACTTAGTCACATAAAGTACTAATAAAACACAAATATTTGATTGTTGAAAAGTAAAAGGATTATTAATACTTTGATAAGGCCTTGTGAACTGTGTTCTTGTGAGGTGATGCTTTGCATAAAATAAGAATGCATGTAAAGTTCAAAGACCTACTTTAAAAGTCTATTAAAGTTATATAAGGGAGAGACCAAGAGCTAGAAAACAAGCCCCAGTTTACAGAACCAGGTAAAGACCATTTCTAGAACCAGAACAACAAAAAAAACAAGTTAACCTTGTGCTAAACTTTTCTGGAGGGGCATCATGTGTTTCAAAGATGTCCCCAATCTATTAGAAGAACCGCAAAGCAGTTTGAAAAGTGAAACTGAAAGGCAAGTTTGTTCATACAGCACATTTCAGTGGCTATAAAATTCAAAGAGCTTTATGTGAAATAAAAAGTAAATATAATGATTATAAAAAAAGAATAATTAAACAGTTGATGATCAAATGAAAGAAAGGTGGACTTTAAACTTAACCTGATCATGTTTAGATCAGTGGTTTTCAAAGTTGGACCCGCAGCCCCCCTGGGGGTCACCTTTACAGTTTCTCAGTTTGTTCCAGATTCGAGAAACATAAGAACTAAAAGCTGCTTCTGGGTATGCAGAGTAGACTTTATCTGAAAGCCTGACAGGTCTGAGCTTTCGATACGCAAACAACATGTATTTTGATACTAAGCCCCTGTGTTTAAGTCTAAATCCTTGCTCTTTGATGATAAAAAACACCTGTGATCTCACTTGTTGACTCTTCAAACAGGAAGTGGTTTTTCTTTCTGTCCAAACTCAGATGCGACAACAGGAGGAAGTGGAAAAGAAGGCAGAGGTTGCCATGGAGATGTCTGACCTGGTGGTCTACTGTCAGCCGCGCAGCAAGGAGAAGGACCGCTTCGGTAAACTCACACTGAAGCATAAACTGCACATACAGTAAAACGCAAACAGCATTTCCTCCACCGATTATTTTACATCACCTAAGAATGTAGTCCGGCTAAAAAGTTCTGATAGATCAAGCAAACAAAGAATGCTTACTCTTAACCTTAAACCCTTAACATTCAAGCTAGTACTGTATAAGAGTGATAACATCTGAATTCATTCATATAACCACATAACTTGAAACCACGTGAGCTGTTAAGCAGCTCGTCTCTCTGCTGTTTAGTTTGTTAGAAGCTGCAATACCTGAATTCATGAATTAAATTTTCCAAGATATTTGTATTTTGGTTTGTACAAAAGAATAGAATTTGTCATCTTGACTTTCCTGCTGTTTTAGTGCAGCACGGAGCTCGTCTTGCCCCATGCTGTCCAGAGACAGCTACCACTGCCTGCATTTCTGTCTTGACAAGAACCCACAGCTGGTAACTGGATCTCTGAATGAGAACCAAACTGGAAAACATCTTTTGGGGCAGTTTTTCTTTTCAAGGTGAAGATGACGAAAGGAGTAGCAGATGCAGACACGGAGCGCCAATAGCCCAAACTAATATGGAACGGTTTTTTATTGAAGCTTAGTCCAAATGACAGACGTTCTGGTGGGTCCTTAGAGGGGCTGTGTTTCAAGCTGTATGGGTTTTGCTCAGTGACGTAACAGAAAAACTCCAACCTCCTGAAATCTTTCAGCCTGTTTACCTTTCATAAAACGACGAAATGTTAAGCAAACAGGATGTGACCAAAGGAAACAGTCTGAAGACCAAACAACTTCCTGTGCTGCTGACTTCAAACCACATCTGTCTCGATGTTCCAGTGGAACAAATGTAAACAGCTGCTGAAACTAGATGGTTCAACGTTTTCTTATGATCTGCTCAGACAGGAAGGAAGGACTTATTGAATGTTGATGGAAGCTGAATCTGGTGATCAATAAATCTTAGTCAATCCAAAGAACAAAATGAAAAGCCCAGAAGTCTTCTAACTGCAAGGCCTTTCTATAACCCGTCCATCATTTCATAAACTTGGTTATTATTATCATTAAAATGACTTTAGTTCCTTATGTTTAAAACATTTCTCAGATGCTTCTATTATTTACCTTCAAGAACCATTGTGGATAGTATTTTTGAATTAAATTCCCATCTAAATGAACTAGAAACATTATTCTTATTATTTAGATCTTTTCCAGCATGAAAACTGGTCCAAAACAATCTGTAATGAAAAAAAGATGTTCCATAAAGAAACACATTCAGAAAATAAACAAGGGAGTTTCCCCACATGAAATAAAAAAAAATTTGTTTTTTTTTCCATTTTAAAATTTTCGCGAAGCTCTACTGATTTTTCCCCTCATATTGTTTCACCCTTGCGTTTATCACCTAGAGAGTTTGTTGCTCAGATGATATAGACTGATCAGGTTCTTCTGAACGTCCTTCTCCTTTCTCTGTATAGACAGCTACAACTACAAAGAGATCCGCTCCTTCGTGGAGAACAAAATTCCAGCAAAGCACCGTACAAAGGAATTCCTGAAGTACAACCGCAAAGCTCTGACCCGCGTCTACCCAAAAGGCCAGCGAGTGGAGTCCTCCAACTACGACCCCTACCCTCTGTGGGCGGTGGGCTGCCACATGGTAGCTTTGAACTACCAGACTGCAGGTATGAAGCTTGGTGTTTTGGTCCGTTCAGCTCCTCTCCATGCTGTCTATTTGTTATCTCGGATCAAAATGTAGTTTCTCAAAATCAGGTCAGTGATACAAAGAAAACATGTCGATGAGGAGCTCAATCAGGACGGACAGCTCCACTCCACAGTGTGAGATAGAGCAGGAGGACCCTAAGAATGAGTCAAGAGTTAAAAGAACTGATTTGGACATTTTTGGAGCGTTTTGACTTGTAAGCAGGAGCCGGATTGTTTTCTTGGGATTTCCCTTTTTTCACCATCCTTTTCTATGGTGCCGATAAGTAGAAACTTATTTGTTCTGCAAGTCTTAAGTTATTGCAGACCTGTTTCCTGTTTCCATCTGATGAAAGTTTGATCGTACTGAGGAAGATCCCCAGATTTCCGCTTAAAGGGGATCTGGGGCCTTGTATACAAAGCCTGCATATGCACAAAAACACACGCTTAACAAGTTTGACTAATTCATCAGGTGGAGACAATTACGCATGTCAATTAATATGTATGTAACTGCAAAAGAATGGCATTCTTTGCAGTGGTACAGGAAATCACCACTAATCTATCACCACTGCTAGACAGGATGCAATGGACCCATCCTTCAAATCGGGCAAAAAGAAGGATGTATTTGTACGCCGCATAACGAGGAGTTTTGGAATCTGACCAAACCTGGGCGCAATGCTATGACGTAATCGGCCTTTGAATCTGGCCTTCGGAGGAAGCATCCCATAAATTGGAACGCAGCCATGGTGTCAGGGTTGGTGGATGTTGTTGTGGACTCAAATGCAGAGTAGAGTAGGCAGATACAGTATATGTTTTCCAGTTTCAATGGTGAAATCGATGGTTAAAAAAACAACATAAATCCAGAAATAACAGGCTGGGAACTCAGGAACCAAAAACTAGAGAAGCTCGGGAAAAATGTACAAGAAGAAATTAAGAGAATCAAGCACTGAGGTACTGCAGTGGAATATGTATGGGACACAGGGCAAGGAGGGGAGTAATCAGTTAAGTGGGAGCAGGTGTTTGACTGAAGCAGCTAGAAAGGAGCTAAGCGGAAAGGAAAGGGGCACTAGTGGGCAACAAAGAGTAACCATGGAAACCAGGATTTAACTATAGCTAGAAAATAATTTCAATAAGTCTAAAGGGGAATAAAACTAATGACTCCAACATAAGGAATGACCGAGGGGAAAACTAGAGGATAAGAGAAGGGACTGGAGATTATTGGATCCATGGAAAACATAACTAAAGGTAAGAGAAAGAATGACTACCTAAAACTAGACCAAGAAATAAATAACAGTAAAAAGGCTAAAAAGAAAACAAGGAAGAGAAAAACTAAGAATTCAAATATGATATAAATCTATATAGAATAACATAAATTAAAGCATAACTGAGAACCCAAAATGAAAACGTACACAGAACCAAAAAGTCCAGAATGGCAGATCATGATATATATAAGGTTAAATCACAAAAACAGTGAAAATATTATTAGGCTAACAAAAAGCTTAAGCAAAGAAATATATTATACCCTAAAAGCATTTTTTTTTTAAATAGATCCCGGAGCAGCTCTAGAATCTGATCCTTTTTTTATGTGTGGGAGGTTGGGGGGTGAGGGGATTCTGTTCATTAGAGAGAAATAAAGTGTTGCAAACATTCCATCTTTTGACTTTCACCTGTACCCTCCAAGCACGGTTTTGTGCACCATATTTTCAGAATTTTCTCCCCACCGCAGACTTTCAGAATGAAAGTTGTGCGCTCCTTTGAACATGAAGCCTCTGAAGCTGTGTTTGTGCTCATTTGCACCCAGATAGATACACCCAGCTGAACAGCGCCCTCTTCAGCCTGAACGGACACACGGGGTATGTGCTGCAGCCTGAGATGATGCGCGCTGACAGCTACGATCCTCATCAGGAGAAGAAGAAAGTCAAGTACAACATTAAACTCAAGGTAAGAGCCACAGACTGGAATTTTCCCAAGGCTGCCTGCATTGAACAAAAGCTTCAGAAATGTTTATCTGAGTGCAGGTGATCGCTGCTAGACACCTGCCTAAACCGGGCCGCAGCATCGCCAGCCCGTTTGTGGAGGTCGAACTGTGTGGACACTCAGAGGAGAAGTTCAAGACCATCGTTTACCGTAAGACAAAGCTGTTCTGGGATGTCTGAGTGTGAGATCTGAACCTTTAAGAGCTGTTTGACGGTTTTGTCTCACACCTTTAACGGCTGCAGGTGATAACGGGCTGAATCCAGTGTGGAAAGCCCCAGCAGAACCTGTGGAGTTTACAGTCTACGAGCCTGAGCTCACCTTCCTCCGCTTTGTGGTCAATGAGGAGGACATGTTCTCAGACCCAAACTTCCTGGCTCAGGCCACATTTCCTGTCAAAGGCATCCGCTCAGGTTAGGAGGGGACACGTGACAGCATGCAGAGTCACTTTACAGAAAACATTTAGGACATTTCATTCAGTGGTTGCTCTTTATTTTTTTTTGCAACCTCAGGGAACTGGTTGAAAACTAGATCAGCTGATTGTGACAAAAAACAGGGGAAAAAAAGGAATAGCAAACTGAATAAGCATCAAATCCAAAATTAGAGGAGACAAAACTAAAAGGGATTTGGTTTCAGCTCTACTATCAGATCACATAGATCCATCTTAAGACATGAAGGCTAGAAGTGTGGCACCAGGAGTCTTCAGCCCTGGTCCTCAGGAAGAATTGTCCCGCATATTTTAAATGTCTCCACCCTCCATACATCTGTCCTAAATAAACAGGGGTCCTTGTTTGCTGCTGAGAAGGTAACTGAAGCTGACACATCTAAAACATGCAGGACAAAGGTCTCAGGATTGAAGACTCCTGTGTTCATTACATTTTATGTTTACCGCTTGTCTTTGTGCAAAAAAAGACATGCTTTAAATAGAACAGAAAGAATTCCAATAAATACTGAAGGCTCTGTAGTTAGGGTTGCCATAGTGACAGACCTAGGTAAAAAGGAGAGAAAATCCTAAAGTAAGACTGAAGTAATGGACTTATTCCCCTTCATGATGAAGGGGAACTAAGATCAACTGAGAAGATAAAACATTATAATTAAACTAAATCAGAAAAATGCATTCAGAAAAATAAGCAAAACCTGCAGAAGTAGGTTAACAGAAATCTCTGCATTCTCTTTATCTCTTTTAAATCTTTTTTATTGTATTTAAAATATTTTTATACTTTTGGTTGTTATACACTTAACATCATTTATTCCTTGAAGGACATTATATTTTTTTTAAATGAAAATATCAACAAAAGTGAAACTTTAAAGATAAAATCTTGACATTTTTCTTGACCAGATGATTATTATTGGTCCATTTAATGTGAAGAGGTTCAGAGCATCACCTTATTGGGGCTTTTTTCATTTATCTAAGGTTACCGCTCCGTACCTCTGAAGAACGGCTACAGTGAAAACATGGAGCTGGCCTCTCTGCTCGTCCACATCAATGTGCAGCAGGCTGGGGTGAGTGAACGCGCTCAGTGGGAGCTTTTCTTGTGCTACTTTGGCCTCATGACCCTCTGATCCCGTTTAGAGAGCAGAGGAGGAGCTGTACTCGTCCTCCAACCAGCTGAGGAAGAAGCAAGCCGAGCACAGCGAGCCCTTCCTGTACGACACACACAGCAGCCTTCAGCGCGCCTCGCTTCCTCAGAACCAGCTCGTCCGGGAGTCCAGCGAGAGGCACAGGTATGGCTGCAATAAGTCTAATAAAAATCAAATATGACATAAAACTTTTTATTTATTTATAGATCATACATTTTTTTTTTAGCTTTAACGTTTAACGGTGTGGCTTAGATTAAACATCTACTGTTTTATTTAAAGACTAAATATCTGCTTTCTAATGTATTTCCTAAACTTAAAAATACATTTTTCTTTCAAATTTTGTTAATGTTGTTTGACCAGATGTTGCCACTAGAGGGCATGTAATAGGATAGATTATAGATAAATATTAAAAGATAAAATTTCATCCTAAAAAATTATTTTCTTTGTTTAAAACCTTATCTTAATTCTTATTCTTGATTCCTACCCTCTCTGAGAAGCTAAATTAGAAAGAATATCAGATAAATTCTATTAAAATTCAAAAATACTTTGATGATCCCTTAGGAAAAGAAAATAAAATACAAATATTATATATATCTTATATAGATAGATATAAATATATGTTGAGTAACTCTGCATATGAAATAGAAGTGATTTTAAGTACATGTAACATCAAACTCTGAGATGTCAGCTGATGTCAAACTAATGCATGATTCTTCTTCAGGCCAAAGGAGAAGAAGATAAACAACAGCAAGTTTTACTCCTGAGGATACGTCTGTCCAGTTGTCCCAGCTGTGGACTGGAAACTTGACGCTATTAATTGCTTCCATACAGATCAGGATTGAAACGGTTTGAACTTCTCCTGCCAGAACTGAGTGATTATAACAAGCAAATGGCAACGATATGATGTTACCTATGAAATACTATTTATTCAAAATGAAACCACTTCGAGGATGTAAAATTTTTAAAGGTTCGGGGAATGTTACTGGTGTGGCGTGCAGAGTTTGGAATCAAACTGCTTCATATTATTCAGATGGTATTTATTTTAATGACAGATTCACTGATGGCCGCTCATTCTGATGCTTTTTTGCCTTAATATCTGAATTAAGATGAATTGAAATTGAGTCCGACGCAAAAAAGATTGTTTTCAATGTTAAAATGTTTTTAGATTGTGTTTCTAAAGCCTTATAATTTACATCTTCGGGTTAATAAAGTTTGCTTATTTCAACTTTAGCCGTTACCCCTGTTTTTATTTTATTCTTTCTAAGCTCCACTGTGTTAAAAATGTTGCTACCTTTTATAGCTGAATAAATTATTAAAATTTGATCTGCAAATGGTATTTTGTTGGTATAGATGCACTATGTATGGAGCCGATGACAGTTATATAACCTATGCTAGCCTTATTGAGCCTCTCTGCACACCCATTTCTTTGTAGTAGTTTGGAGGGTGATGGATGAACCCACTCGACTGAATACTGAAGGATGAATAAAGATGACCAGCAGCTATTATCAAATGTTCCTCCTTGTTAGTTTTCTCTGGAAGAATATTCTTTGTTGGACCGCATCAAGTCCACAGAAGTGATCCATAGAAGTAGAAAGGGGTCACATACCTTATACATAAAATGTATTAATATATTTTGTTATTTTAATGTAAAAAAATATTAGCCCAGCTTTATTTATGCAGTACTTGAAAAGGACCTGTTAAGCAGCTGAACCTCCAGGACTAATGCTGTTAACACCGTAAATCCTCAAAGCTGTGTGCTCGGTCCTCTGCCGTTTTCCACTTCCAGTTGAACCGTAGTGAATAATGCAGGGGAAATATGTTCCTTAGAGATACCTTCCTTGGCGCAACACCTGTTATGCTGCTTTTCCTTCCAGCACCATCACTGAGCCTATAGCAGTGCATCACACTCCTAATCAGCTCAGTAAAATAATGTAACAGTAATCCTTATGCAGTATAAAAACCTGCAGCATTAGACACTGGATATGTGCAAATGTTTTAATAATTTTTACTGTTCAAAAAAGGCTAAATGGTGAAGCACCATGGGAAAAAGTAACTTTGAAAGGAAAACGTGTTTGTAGTTTTGATATTTATATACTGGTTGAAAACAACCAAGTGATAATATGTGACTACATTTTTGTGTAGACAAATCATGTAAGGCTGCAAGTTTTGTATATTGTAGCTAGAGGGCGCCTTTGAATCGGTTTTGGTGTGTTTTTTTTTGTCCTTCCAACACATTAATGAGTTACCCAGGTAAGTGGCCCCTGAGAGCCATATGGGAGGTGCGACAGGGAGGAGGATGTAGTGATAAAAGGCCGAGCAGATAGGAGGAAGATGACGAAACACATGGTGTGTGTGTGGGTGTGTAAGAACAGGAGGAACTCTCTTCATGCCACCATTTCATACCTATCAGAGCAGGCTCCAGGCTGACAGGTGGACACCTGAGTTTTCCTTTTTTGGTTTGCCAGGCTTTGATGTTCTAACTTTTTTTTAAGAGGACTTCCCATTGCAGCTTTGGTCACTTCTGATCTAATCTAGGCTGCTACTGGTAGCTGAACCCAGACTGGATAATTTTGTTACTGATATCTAAGGAGGCGACAGGTTGTGGCATCATGGCAGACTTCCCCTCCAAGGTTACCACAGAGACCAGCACTCCCAACTACCAGAACACCCATCAGGGGGGTAACAGGCTCAGCGGGATGACAGCCAGGGTCACAACTAAGATGGATGTTTCATTTGTGAGGAGCATCCAAGGCATACTGATGATTACTGAAATAGTAAGAACCACTTTAATTGCTCTCCTTCATAGTGAGGGAACACTAGAAAACACCACAAGCTGCTAGGCAAGATCAAATTCATCATCATCTATTAAGCACAGTACTCTTACTAATATTAACCAGTCTTGTACAGATGTTTTGTGATAGGTTTTTAAAAATGTACTTCACTGAAGGAGGAACAAAATAGGGAAATGCTTCATATATATCTATATATGTGTTTAGCAAATGTGTGAAATCCTGAATAAATAATAGTCTTTAGTAAACTTACTGGAGCAGCAATAGTTAGACTTAGCCAAACTTTATTGTCATTTTGTATGCACGGATTGTATACAAAACGAAATTAATTGCATTCATCTTACAACAGGGAAATGGTATTGCAGTTGGAGTAAGATAAACATTACCAATATAAAGTGCAGCAGTGATCAGAATGTAAAACGGTGTAGGAGGAAAAATAAACCAGTTTAAATAATGGTGCAAAAGGGCATTAATCCGAAAACATTCAGTGCAGAACAAAAATTAATATGGTGCAAAATGAACTACTAAACATTGAGTTTTGTCCTATTTTAAAGGATTCAGCAACATTAGTGCAAAAAAATGGGATGGAGTCCAGTTTAGAATTCAGCAGTTCAACAGTCTGATGGGAGCGGGAAAAAAGCTGTTGCAGAAGCTGTTGCACCTTCAGCAGACGCTGTGAAGCTGCTTCACAAATCATTTCCTATAGCTGCTTAAACCGTACAGTCTGAAGGGACCCGTTCTGATCTCCAGTTATCAGCTGGTGAGAGAGGGCAGACATGGACAGGTCATGGGAATATTTCGCTTAGCCATTTTAAAAATTAGGAAAGACTAGAGAACATGATTTCTGTTAAAGGCAGATGTAAATATTATCTGATCAACTAAAAATGCTCATATTTATGTTTAGAGGAACATTGTAAAAAATCTGGAACTGTAACAAAAAGACTGGATGTGATTCATCTGTCCCTCTCAGACTAAAAACATCAAATGATTCTTAAGCTTGCTGAATTTAGAGCCCATCTCCTACTTTGAGAGAAATTAATCCATTAGTTGATTTGGATTCAAAAGATCTGACGCTGATGTCTTCATAAAAAAGTAAATCAGAACAACCTTTAAAGGTATTAAGGATTCTGTGATTATTAGGTTTCTAGTCCAGTTGAAAGCAGACTGGGCTCACTTTTAGGGCCTCCTTTAAATGAAACGTTTAAGTCAGCTTCTGTTGTTAATACTTGAAATCAAGTTACTGTTTAGACTGAAGCAGAAACTAATTTGATGTTTATTCAAACCATTTAGTAAACCTCTGTGTCTGACATGTTTATATTAATCTGAAGGACCTGCAGGACATCCAAACAGACGAACTGTCTGTTTGAATACAGTCTACACATTATGGTTCAAGTTTATTACATTATCACCGTAGGACAAAAAAGTTCCTAAATCAAATAACTGATATGTTGACACAGTAACTGTGCTTCTGTATTGTTAGACAGACTCAAAACTTCCTTAAATAAAAGGATCTCACTTAAACAGCTAGCATGAAGCTACCAGCTGGCCTTGAAGCAGACAGCTGCCTGCGACTCTCAGGCTGAGATTCAAGGCTGAGATAAACTTCTATAAACTTAAACACCTAAGATTAGTTTATCCAAATCTTTTTTTATGGACCATTTTACCATTGGAAAGGCTTTGGTAATTGACAGATGACAATGATCAAAACCTGTTTTACACCATTGTCATCATCATCACTTAGGGTTATTTATATGCTGAATGGAGTGCACCATTAAGGGTCTTCCTGGGGGAAACAGGAGAGGTCTGAGAGAACAATAAGGCCCACCTGATCTGTCAGATATTTTTGTTTTGTTTTCATTCAGCACTACTTTTAAATAAAAGCATTCTTTTTTAGTCCATGTTTCACACAGGTAGGGCCTCCCCCATATCCATATTCTGCTATACCATACTACTTTATTCAAAAAGCACATATGAAACAGCAACATGGTCAAAAAAAAATCTGGACAAAATGATAAACAATTAGAAGAAACAGAATAAAGTGACTGTGCATCAGTGTGTTGCAGAGTTTGTGACATGATTTAGAGTTTTTTTTTAACAATTCAGCTGTCTGATGGTGGTGGGGAAGAAACTGTTGCAGAATCTGTTGGACCTGCATAGAATGCTGCCATTTCTCTTCCCAGAGGGCAACAGGGAGAACAGTCCATGGTGGGGGTGTGAGGGGTCATTGATGATGTTACAGGCTCGGGACACGCATTGCTGGGATGAAATGTCTTTAATGGAGGGAAGAGGAGCCCCAATGATCCTCTCTGCTGTTTTCAACACTCTTATAAATTACTTCCAGTCTGTGGCGCTGCAGCCTCCAGACCACACAGTAAGATAGATGGTCAGTACGCTCTCTATGGTGCTTCTGTAGAAGGTGGTGAGGATGGGTGGGGGCAGGTGGGCTCTTCTCATACTCCACAGGAAGTACAACGCTTTTGTGCCCTTTTTACTAGTGAGGTGTTGCTTACATTCCAGGTGAGGTTGTCTGTGATGTGCAGCCCCAGGAATTTGCTGCTTCTGACCACCTCTACAGCTGAGCTGTTGTGCAGTGGAGGGTTGTTCATGAAGCGGAATAATAACACTGGCAAGAATAATGAGGTTTAAACCACTTCCTATGAGTCGAAGTCAAAGGAGGAAAAGTGTGTTTTTAACCTCCAATAGTGAGAGTGAAGAAAATATTAGAAAGCTGCACACAGAGTCAGTTCTGAGTTTTTAAATGTAAGATGTGAAAAAAAGCAGCAGCCGTATCTCTGCAGAACATTTGAGTTAATCTTAGATCAAATTACGTGTTATTAGTAGCAATAAGTTAAACAGCGACTACACTTTATGAACCATTTAAAGTGCTGTTATCTTTACAGGAGACTGATTAAACATTTATATGTTTACACGCAGTTCATTTGGTAACAGAAGACTTCAATGTTAACAAGCTCTACTTTCTGCACCATAAACGTCTCCAACAAACACTCAGGTCTTATGAAGACAGGAAGTGTCCATGTTGTGGTATGATTATCATGTGACTAGGAGACCCTTTAGGTCCTTCCTATTTCACTATAGTCCCCGTCCACAATGAGGACATGTGACTGAATGTTTCATTGGATCTTTGTCCCCAGGAGGCCAATGACTCACAGAGAGGAGCTCAGCCTTTAAAACAAACAGTTAGTGATCGATCTGCGTCACACCTAACTGCTTTATGAGTCCCCGCAATAATGGGAGAACCAAATCAGGGTCCAAGGTCCTTAACTAAAAGAAGGCGAGTCTGCAAATAGCTCATTAAAAATAATAAATAACTTTCCTTGTTATCAATACATGATATTGAGCAGAATAACTGTGAGCCAAGCCCTAAACAGAATCCTTGGAATGAGGTCATTCTGTTTGTCTTTTCTGGGGTTTTCTGCTCAGTTTTAATTACAAAAAAAATATCAAAATGGGTCTGTGTGTCGTTCAAACAGCTGGAGAAAACAAAGGATGTCAAACGTCTTATTTTTAACCTCGACCGTAATCTAGTAAAATACGCATGTAGAGTTCCAGAATAAATTTCATTGCTCATTAGTGGAGCAATGTTCAAACTTTCATCTCTTTATCCAGAATTTATCATGCTATTAATACCTTGAAGCACAGGTGGGCACGTCTTTATAGAAATAATGCTGAAGTTTCTCTAGATTAATGAACTAATCTGATTTAAAAGTCCTATAAAAACCCTGTTGCTGCTGTTATTGAAGATAATTTAGTATATTTATTCTTAGGTCTTTTCTGTTGCCTTAAAGAACAGAAGTTATGGCAGGTGGTTTGCAAAGGTCACCCGAAGAGCTACGCATTGTTTGGGGTTGTATCAGGTGTGTAAAAACAGAAACATGATCTCTGCATGCATAATGGACCATCCTGTCATGTCTGAACCCTAAGAGAAAAGAACCCCGGGAAGGGGAGGAAAACCTGGAGAATCATTTTCATGAAGCTGTCTCCTAAACATCAGCATTAGAAACCTCACAATGTTTTTGATTTTAGGGATCTGCTTAGTGTTGGGGTTGATCTGGGCTCCAGACTGGCTTCCCTTCACACTTGCAGGTTATATCCTGCTTATAGGAAAGGTCTCAGTGAGACCTTCCTGACTATGAGGGTGAACGGATCGATCATTTCCAGACTGGAAAAAAATAAATCCTTCCCTGCTTCCTCTGCTGATTTCAGAGAGAATGGGCACACAAATGCTACACCTTAAAATTAATCATCACCCGCAAGTGTGAGCAGTTCAATAAAAGCAGGATTCATCTCTGTTTGGTACATTGAATACACATCAGGAATAACCTTAGATTAGCAACTGCTGCTAATCTGGAAAAAAGTTTCAGGTCATCTCCATCCCTAGGACAGCTGCCAAATTTAAGCTAACCTGGACTCTATAGGGATCTCTTGGCAGGTAAAAGGTTAAAGGTCATGACCCTGAACCAGACTGGTTCGCTGGGAGGGTTGAAGGTGAAAGAGGGCAGCAAGACTTAGGTAGCAAAGCTACATCTGGATGAAGAACAAAACTTCTGGGAAAACACCCTCTAGAGAGACCAGAACAAAGTAGAGATGTTGGATCATGATGAACAGAACCAAATACGACATGAGCATCAACATCTCTACCAGCAACCCAGCATGGTGGTGGAGGGCTGATGATGTGGGCTTGTTTTGTGGTCACATGACTTAGATGCCCTCCAGTCATTGAGCTGATCTTGAATTGCATGGCTTTTTTTTTTTTTCTAGAATACATTTCCATATGTTCTAAAGCTAAAGGGTTAAGCACAGAAAAACTATCAAGAACCACTTCATTTGTTTCCATGGAGACCCATATCTAGGGGCCTATGTTTATGCTCTAGGGTGTAGTTGGGTCACAGGTCCTGAATCATTTCTCACCCTGCTCTGTTCCCTTTCTTATCTTTAGGTGGTGGGCCTGTTCCCCTGGGCACTGATCGCCAGCACCCCATATATGCCTCATGCAGCATACGGCTGGGTGATGTTCGTGGAAGTCACTCTGTGGCTTCTCACCATCATCCTCTTCTTCGTCCTCCTGTTCAGTGTCCCACAGAGACTGACAGTCGTTCCCTGGGCTTTAACCGTAAGGCCTGTCCCATCTAACAGATGTCTTAGTGCATGACATGCACTAAGACAGGAAACGGTAACACATTGTGATACCGTTTCCTGTTTCTGCAAACCCTTGAAATCAACAACAACAAACAAGAGGACTTAATTATGTTATTAAAAAGCTCATGTTGGTTATGTAATGATAGAGTGATTCTTAAGTGAAAGGGAAGACATGCTTTAATAAATTGGGTTTCTGTCTCTGATAGGTGATGATGTACACAGGTGTGGCCACGCTCCTCTACCTCACGGCCTTCATCACCAACGCAGCCACTGCGAATGTCTTTAAAGGCTCCTACTTCTTTGGACACATTGGAGCTGCTGCTGTAAGATTTCCATGGTTCTGTTGACATTATGGTTCTGCTCAGAGCTTAACAGCCACTCATCAGCTACGTGGACGCATGAAGTATTCTACTTTGGACTGCAGGCAGTTCCATTGTACCAGAAGAATTAGTAGTGGGTTTGATCTGAACACAGAGGTTGTAATGTATACTCCAACCCTTTCTTTGGTGAACTGTCTCTATCCATGCTGGTGGTGTCATCCCGGCTGATATTGGACCCCTCCATGATTTCTAAGTGGATGAACTTGTAAAAGAGTAGGGAGTTCAAATACTTATTTTGCTCACTGTAAGCTTTGACAAAAGGCCCTGAGGGGAGACTGAGCCTCCACTGGAGATTGTTCAGATGATTTCTGGAACATCTCAGTATCTAAAATGTTGTAGGTGACAAGCAGCAGATGGAAATCTACAGATCAGCTGAGGGTATTACAGCCAGCAAAGACTAAAGTCTGGTTTGTTTTACAGCCATCTGATTCCTCACACCCTTTCACCCACTCAACTCAGATCTGCTTTACTTCAGATCATCTTATCAGCTCCTTTTTACTGCTCCTCTGACACACAAGTTAGTATTTAGTGGATTCTTCCAGGAACAATGGCTCATTAATTTTAGATTCAAGTTAGAAAAACTTTAAATTCTAAACCTTTGCTGCAGGAACAGATGGATCTGGCATCTTAGAAAAGAAGAAAAATGGTGCAAAGAAAGAAAAATTAAAAAGAATTTAATGTAAAAAATGTCACCAAAACACTTGAGTAAAAATAAAGAAACATCTAGATAAAAAGTTGGTGTTGATACTTTCTGCCACCAGACCAGGTATTATTACAGAAAGTCAGGGATCATAGATCAGCTGAGGAGTTTAATCTCTTTCCTTATGTGTCTGTCTGCAGTTCTTCGGGGCAGCGCTGACCCTGCTGTACGGTGCCAGTGCTTACCTGGCTTATCTGGACTGGAGGGGCGATGGAGGAAACGCAGCCACCAGCACGGTGCCCACCTAGGACCCTGGGAACTCAGAAACTGCTCCTGAAACATCTGACTGGAGCTCATGGCAGATCACCAGCGCCGGGTTTTAACACCATCAATATAAAGAGGCCCCGGGGCCCAGTAATCATCCCAGGCAGAGCAATGGCTAACATGATTTTTACAAAATTCTTAATTTTGCTTTGAAAAACAAGGAAATAGTTGGAGGTAAAGCTTAAATGTAAAGAGCTGACCTGATGGCAGACAGGTACTCTCCCAGCAGCACCCACACATTTTGAACTGACAGACTTAAGCACAACGGACCTGCAGCAGTCATATCCATCCCATTTAAATCAGATGTTTCTACAGATTTCCCCAGTTTAAGTATTATTTTTCTCATCTTTCCTTCATTATTTCAACCATTTGACCACAGAACACATCAAACCAGTTCGGTTTGTCCTCAGTGTATCCCACAGATCATGAAAAAAGATGGTGCTTAAGTGTCTTCTGAATCGGTTGAATGGTAAACCATTATTTCACAGTTTGTTTCACATGGACTGAGTCAACTAGTTCTATGACAAACTCCGGACCGGGTCACCCTACAGTAAATAGCTTAAAAGCTTTATTCTATTTAGCCTCTGCGACTGACATCTGACCCAGAAGCGGTTTAACAAACACAGCTGCAATTCAAAGTCTTGATTCCCAAAGACAGCTATTATTTAGAGAAATATGTTTCAGGGTTCTCAAATACCCTATTGAATCATATGAACGAACTCTGTGGAAACATATGATTTCTGTGAATTGTAGAAACCTTATGTAAGAACTCTGTGGAATGTAGAAAAAACATGTGGAACCTAGTAACCCTGGTGGAAGTAGAAACTGCCTGTAAGAACACTGTAGGAACCCTAATGAACGTATGAACCATGTGCAGGAACCCTTTTGAATGAAGGAACCGTGTGCATGAACGCTGTTGACTGTAGGAACCGTGTGAAGGAACGCTGTTGACTGTAGGAACCGTGTGAAGGAACGCTGTTGACTGTAGGAATCGTGTGAAGGAACGCTGTTGACTGTAGGAACCGTGTGAAGGAATGCTGTTGAACTTAGGAACCATGTGGACTGAAAAGGTGAGACCCAGCTAATCCGCGCTGATGTGTTCCCATCTTTTAATCCTTATAACCAGACCTCATGTAATTGCGGAGGTTCTTGATCACCCTGGTTGATGAGGAGATCATATTGAAGACTTTGAGATGAAACAAAACAGTTTTGGATAAACCCAGCAAAAGGGAAGGAATGTCAGAGAGCAGCTTTTTATGTAGGAAGTAAATCTAACGTTTGAAAACACTATGTTTCTGAAATCAGCAGAAACAAAATGTTTCATATATCCTCATTATGTTCATGCTGCTTCTGTCCCTAGTTTAATATCCAAATTATCAGAGAAAAATGTTTACTTTATGTTTACAGGGAATGCCCGTCCCCGACCCCATCATAGGAGAAAGCTTGCAGCAACATCTGTGTGGTTTTATGCCGAACTTCTTCTGTGCTGTAATGAGATTTTGTAAAGACTGGTTGATAAACAGGATGTTTGTGGTTATCGTTGAAACATGAGTTTAAAATAAAAGAACTAAATGCTCTTAGTTTAAAAACAGATCACTTTTAATGCTTGTGACATCTATTCACCCATCAGGATAATCTCTTCATCGACCAATTAGAATTAAAAACTATTTATTATGTAAAACATGTGAGTCAGAGGATGATATCAAATGGAAGGTCATGACTCTCAGACAGACTAAGTTTATGAAATATTATAGCTACACACAGACCTTCTAAGTCCATTTACAACAAGAGCTATGATGATTCACACAGGAGATGTATCCAGAAGATCTCTGGACCTTTCAGCTTCAAAATGCAGCCAGAGTCACTTCAGCAGGGTCGGTTGGAGTCTGCAGGATTCAGGCACGTCACCACCAGACTCTGACTCGAATCCACGCCTCTGCCCTCTTTTGTCTGAAATTACATGAAAGCAGACAGAGTAGTTCATATGCAGAGCGTCCATCTTTAATGACTTTTAGAGCAGATTTGGGGAAACAAGAATGACGGCGCCAGACACAAGTATGTAACATCTGATAACCGATTTTCTTTAAAGGTGTAGAACAGCAGCAATACTTTTACATCGGTTACACCACAGTATGTAAGCATATCATTACTAAGGTAAAAACAAGCCCAGAGAAGCTCTTTGCATGTTCTCCCTCCTTCAGTCTACTCACAGCTCTGTACTCTAAAAACATCTCCTTGAAGCCCAGGAAGTCTGTGAATGTCAACAACATGTCCAACACATCATTTGGGACTTCTTCTTTGTGCTGCCTGCAAATAAAAGCAAAAAAAAACCCTTTTAGTCTAATCACACCAGGTGCAAATCCACCATCTAGTGGTCAGACATCAGAACAACTCTGCCTCCAGGCATCAGGAGCTTGAATGAGACCCGACTCCCTTTAGGAGCCTCAGAGCTGCTAACAAAGGCTTAGAACCACAGAGGCAAACCTCTGTTTCAGGTTTGAACCATCTTTTCTCATCATACTACAAGACACATACTTATGATATTATTTATTGTTATTTTAACATTAAAACATGATTAGGTAATAAATAAGAAAGTCCACATTAGAACAATAAAACTTTAACAGTTACATAAGTTTGCTCTATTGGAATGGCAGCTCTGAGGTTCCGTAGTTATGATCTGACGGTACACCTCACATGAGCATCTTTGTGAAGGTGTTCATGTTGAATCCAGGAATCCTCGTCATCAGATACTGCTCCAGAGGCTTCTCCAACAGGTCCACCTACATGACAAATGAGCCAGAGATAAAGGATGTTGTCATTAACTAAAACAGATCCAAACAAGGACGCAGTTATCTTCTACTGACGTATTCATTGAAGATTGAAGTGTAGCTGAGCTTGTTCTCATCAGATTCATCAAATTCCTGGTAATACTGATCCATGAATCTCTGCTTAAGGTGTTGAAAGTCCTCCTCTGAAATAAAGTAATGAAAATAAAGAAAACTGTTAATGCTAAACTACTGATAATAATCAGTAATTATCAGATTTGTCTCTCAGAAATTAGAATAAAAAATCCAGAAACCCCAAAAGGTCACCAAAAATGATCCTACTAACTCCACATTCACCAGCTTCACGTATTCACAGATGAGGACAGTTAAATTACCCATCATGATTTCCAATATGCAGCAAATAACAGCATCGAAGGCTGCTTCAGCAGCTGAAGAACTGGAGGAGGAAAGCGGACAGAGAAAAGTTGCTTCGCTTCACAGTTTAAAACAGAAAGACTCCAAACAGGTTCAACTGCATAAAGTATAACCTTTACCAATCTAACCAATATAAGGATACTGGTAGGCTCAGGTGTCAACACTGAGCCAATTCCTTTTGGTAGCCTAAAACCACTACTGAGAACTGTAGAGCTGAGACCACATGATGACCCAATGTCCTGCATGTTTTAGATGTGACTGCTTCAGCTTATGGGATGCAGTTTGTAACATTACCTTATCAATTATTCGCAGAAAAAATTGGTGTTAATTAGCCTTTAATATGAGAAAAAAAATTGAGCTTAATATTTAAACTCTTATAATCAATATATTATTCATACATTTTTAAACAATTTCAACATTTCCAAGCTAAAACATTTGTATTAAATTTACAATTTAAACATTAAGCTAGTATAATCTAATATTTAGTTCCAATCTAAATGTTGTAATCCAGGTGAAACATTTATTTTGCAAATTAAATATTCATTTTTCAAACTCAACATATTAAATCCTTAAGCCCTGACGGTCTTAGGGGCAAATTCAGCCTGAAATTAGATATGTAAATTAAAGCAAGTACAGCTCCCAAGCTGTAAATTGGAAATACACTTGTTTGTATTTTTATGACGGAAACTGAGGAATGTTTTTCAGGTGGAACCACTATTTTAAGCTTTTAAAGTGAAGTTAATACTTATTTGTCAATTAAATATTCGTTTCCCATACGAAATATTTTGCTCCAATTTTTCCAAAAACTGAACATTTAGCTAGCAACCTAAATGTTTAATGTGGACCTAAATATTTAACTAATATGCAAATTTACTTGCTGACAAGCGTGGGTGGGTTACCAAAATAAAAGCTTGGACTTTACATCGTCTGTAGGAACCACTGCTATTGTATTAGACAAGATGACTTTACAACACACACCCCAAAGCAACTCGCATGCATTAAATGATTGCATTCTCTCCACGCAGCCATCAGGGGCTGCAGAAAAGTCATTCACTTATTCAAGTCTGGCAGTAAAGAATAACCTAAAACATGCAGGGCAGTGAGCCATGAGGACACAGCTATGAGCCATAACTTCTGCAGTGATTCAAGAACATTAATTTATTTTTTTTTTATCTATTTTTGTATTTTATTTTTTATTAATAAGACTGAATGAAAAACTTTGTGCATATTTCTACAGCGGTAAGACTTACAAAATGCACTTGGTACAAAAATGAATGATTGGATGGATAAACAGACGTCAAAGCTTGCTGGATGTCATAATAAATTAACTTTAATATTTATATGAAATTAAATATTATAATTAAATTAAATATTAAATTATATTAAAAATTATAAAGTTTTAACAACTCGTTGATTCTCAGAGAAACTTAAGAACTCTGGGATATAAACAAAAGTGTCTGAAAGGACGTTTGGTGCACTGATCTCCTGGTTCTGTTCAGTCTCATTTTCTCAGAAATCCAAGGCCCAGCTCACCTTGACGGAGCAAACAGTTCTTCCTCCATATGAACCGGTTCTTCTTAATCGTTCAAATAATTGGGCAGAAACAGACAAATCGTTGGTGAATAAATCTACAAACCGAAACTTTTCCATCTACTTTCAAACATCTGGAAGGTGCTAATGTTCAGATGTTAGTTAGAAACACAAACCTTAAACTGTTTGAGATGAAAACTCTTGTTTCCCGGATGCTTATTTGAATAAATCGTTTGAACGGTTGATCATCAACAGCTTTGGAATCGTGTTGCCAGGGTAACAGCGACATTTTGTGCGTCTTTAAATGCCACCGGGTAGAACTTGGTCTGCTCGCTTTTTAGTTCCTGTGTAATTTTCGTCGTTTTTTATATTTTATTTTATTTTAAAAAGCGATACTCACAATAAATCGACACAATAAAATATGAGCGTTAATTTTTTTCAGGAATATAGCATTCAGTTAACAAAAAGCCCACAATGATAAAATTATTTAGAGACCGCTTCAGAACCATATCTGCTAAGTATATTTTAATATAACTAACTTCAGCGTGTTTGACCTTCCAATCACAGACCCGATTCAGGCGAATCAAATGTCTGTAAAGTGAGCTTTCATGAGTGACAGTGACAGCCAATCACACAAGAAAAGATAGGAGCTTGTGGGCGGTCTAAACTCAGTGAAGGGGGCTGAGGTTTTCAGTTATGCATATTTACCCAGAACTAAAAGCAGATTCTGGAGATAATAATCTTAATGTTCTGCAGATCCAGATTTCTTTCTGAATAAAAAGCTTTTGATCTGAGTTAATCAGAGTACACAATATCTGATTAATACACTGCATTTTTTAACCAACATGTCTTATTATCCTAAAAACGCCTGAATCTTCCCACTGTGGGATACCAAATGATTAATTTGTTCTAGTTGTTGGTGTGTTTAAATCTACTTAAAATCTGTATTTAGGGTTTTCATTAAGAACCATCCATAAAATCAAAATTAAACTGAAATGTGAGCAGCTGGGATAAATCTATATAATCTATAAACTTTTTGAGAATTACCAAAATAAAGGATTTCCAAGTTTAATGATCTAAGATGCAGCGGTGTGTATTAATACAATATGTACTAAACCCCTCCTACTTTAGGTATTTGTGATAGTGAAAGTAAAATCAGGTATGATTCCTTTGTATGAGAAATGGGCTTCTGCAGGACACCAGTTATCACCACTGAACTGCAAAACTGAATCAGTCTTATTTAGGATAAATTGATATTTAAGATGATAAAAAAAAAAAGAAAAAAAAAAAAAGCATTATAGAAAATAACACCATCATTGAGAGAAACCTTTCAGAATTATGCACACCATCAGACATCCGAGGCAATCATACAAAGAGATCACACTAACATACATTTATTACAAATATCAATCAAGAAACAACAATTTCTTAATAAATCACATCTTTGGGAACCCCAGATCATAATTCCTTTATAAACATTTTAAATACAAGTCACAAATAATTACAATCCTGAACTTGGTTTCCAACCACAAAAGGCTCCTTCTCTTCCGTATTCACGTTTAAGGTGCTCCAGGAAAAACAAATGTCGACCCCTCTTCTGAAACCCATCAGTTCTCCATCTTCTTCCCAGGATATTTTCAAATTTCTTTACTTTTTGGGCTCCGCAGGGTCTTGTTTAACAATAATTTAAGTGATTTAGTATTATCTGAAATGCTAGTGAGTTTTTTTTTTTTCTCTCTTTTCCTGAATGACATTCGGCTGTCCAATAATTTAGAAACCCGTTTTGAAATCAGTTCAGTAAACCCAGAGAAGAATCAAGTATGCAGAAGATAGACAAACTGAAAACCGCCATGTTTAGAGCACAGAGGGAAATGAAGGACGTTGTTTACTTGACAGCGATACGAGAGACATCTGGAGTTTTGTAGAAGAGAAACCCTGCCTAGGGCTGTGCATGAAAGAACAGTTTTCCTATGAAATACACAAGATTGCCATAATCCAATCTGGATTTCTTTACTCCACTTAAGATCTTGGATGATGTTTCAGGAGGGCCCTGTCAGGCGGAAGGGAGGGAAAATTCTGATCTTTTAGTTTTGCTTTAAGCAACAATAACAACAAACTGTATTTATGGTGAGAAGACAGACCGCATCTCGAGGACTGCAAACTGCCTGCTGAACGCACAAACATGTTATCAATCACAAACACGAATTCGATCCTCACAGAGAAGCTAAATAACCACTTTTACGGACATTTGATCTCAGTGAAAGCTGAACAGCCCACTCGGTTTCTACAGAATCGAGGCCCTTATAGTTTCAGGGTACACATCTGAGCTTACAAGAAAACACCAGAAGCATCAGGATCAGGAAAATCCCTCAGATCTAACAAACTACGTGACATTTCTTTCTTTTGGACAGATTTTAAACAATTCATTAAACTGAATTTAAAAATATAATCCGTCAAAGGCAAAAGTCTGATACTAAGCCAAATAAATCGGTTTTTTGGGCATACGATCCATAAAGACAGAAGTACAACAGGAGCTGGAAAATAATAAAATGCTACCTTTAGAGCACAATATTTAGCATATCCATGAAATTAATTTACTTGTACCTTAGATTTAATACTGTACTAAAGGATGCTTTCTCCTCTGCTGGCCAGCCCTTAAAACTGGCGTCACGTGCAATATACTGCTGGGGTTAAATAGAAGTGGAGTCCAAGAGAAACGACTGGGGATTATTTCTGGATAAATTTACAGTAAATGAGAAGTTGGTTATTTATGTAATTGAATTACACAATCTCTGCTCCGTGCATTAACCCTTTTTAGTCTGGAAAAAAAAAAGACGAAAACAAAAACAGCAGAAAGCTGCAGGCGCCTGGTTCATCCCTGTGATCAATATCAGGAGGAGATTCAGGAAAGTGAGGAGGAATCCAGCTGTGGTTTGATTTCCACGTCTTCTACCTCCTTTCTTCTTCTATTGTCCCCTTCACCGCTGCCTCCAAGGACATAGACCTACAGTTCTTTCAACATTAGAAAACCGCCACACCTTCGTTCTTCTTGGATTCATGAGAATGAAGGAGGAGGCAATTGTAGGCTTTGTGTATATTTCCTCCTGGCAGGAGGAGGAGCTTGAAGCTTGTCAGGAGACATGTGCAATGAGTCTGACTCGTGTCTGGATTTCCTGGCGACACAGGGGGCACGTCTCTAACTGTAAGGCACACTCCATGCACATTCCACTGAGAGAAAAGCAAGACAAAGACACAAAATGAGATGAAATTTGAAAAAAAGACATTACTGGGACCTGCTGCAGCCACAGATCTTTATAGCGGCATGTTGATGCTTAGGTCTGCATACGTACCCGTGTCCACAAGGCCTCAGTTCTGTATCAGCCATCACGTCACAACACAGCGTGCAGCAGTTGTCTCGGATGCTAACCTGCTTCAGTAAGGCCAGACGCCGGTGTCTGGAAGGAGACACATTATACACATGAATAAGGACAAATGTTTCCATGGCAACGGCGCATGTAAGTTCAGGGCCAAAAATAATCTGCGGACTAAACCTTCCATTGACCTGTGTAAACCGAAAACCACTTCAATTGGATTGTTTGATGGTAAAATAGCACAAAGTGAAGCATCATTATAAGCTGGAATAAAAATTATTCATAGTTTAACAAATGGTTCTCCTGCTAAAAGGTGAATCTCCACCCCAAAAATCAGGTCTTCAGCAGCCTCTAATCAGTTTTCCTTCAGGACCGTCAAGGATTCTTCCACCTTTTCTACAACTCTGATCAGCTTCTCTGTTCCATAATCACGATGCTGCCATCACTATGCTTTATACAAAGATAATATATACTTAAAATATCTTTGGAATATACTAAGGTAGTAAAACGTAATGAAAGTCAGACAAGAAGGAAAGGACTAGAGTCGAAGCTCCATGAACACAAATATTTCTCAATGATCTTGGACAGGTTTAATTTAATTGGTGATAGAAAGCATGTAATGTTTTCTGCAGTCACATCGGCCCAGATGAGACAAGCAACAATGTCTATATCTTACCTTGGCAGGATGATCTTTTCACCGGGTTTTAGGGAGGCGAAGTCATTAAAGGTGCTAAACTTCACAGAGGGAGGATGATGAAACGGCTTGGCCCCAAAGTTAAACTCGCACTGCTGGTACGACATGAAGCTGGCTGCTGCAAAGAAACCAGACCTGGAAGAAAAGCAGAAGGTTTCATTTTCAGAAAATATAGGCTGAATCTAGAGAAAGCAAAGATGCTGGGAGTTGAGGAGTAATTTTGGCTGAAGGAGACAAATGACTATCAGTGTGTGCAATCTAGCTCTCAGAACAGGGAGAATTACTCAATGGTTAAATCCCATGTAAGGTTGTATTCTGTCCTCCCTGAGCATTGCTGCACAGTTTGGCTGCAAACAATGTTAAGGCTTTGCACAACTTCAACAATGCAGTCAAATACTAGGAGCATTAAAGGTGGTTTGCTCTGAAGGTAGAGAAGGCAGCACTTCTGAGCAGAAACCCAGTGTTTAAACCAAAAACCAAATCAAACCAATTAAAATCCAAATCAAGAGGAAAGATCAGGTGTCTATAATGAGCTGGCTGCTCATTCAAGCCCCTACTACTGTCAATTTTTGTGTCCCTGGGCAAAACACTTCTACCCCCTTACCCTGCTGGTGGTGCAGATTGTATGGCAGCCTCACTTCTGTTGATCTACACCAGAGCAGCTGTGTCTGTATCTTACTACCATCAGGGTGAATGACTGAATGTGAGGGAAGCATTTTGGAATTTAGACTTGATAAAGTGCTATACAAGAACCAGCCATTTACTATGAAAACCTATTAAAAGTAAATACAACTCAGACTTTGCAAAAAATGAAAACAATTAAATGTGGTTTATTGAAAGTAAATATTTATTTAAAGATTTTGTGAATGAATTATTTCAACAGGGCTCGATGTTAACCATTGCCTGTTCGCCCGGGGCAAGTAGTTTTTATTGTCGGCAGAGTACAAATTTCATTGCATTTGCCCACCGGGCAAATAATTATTTATCACTCAAAATTACTTTAAAATCACTGACATTCGATGAAAATGACCCAGAAGCGTTGCCGCCGCCATTTTTGTTGTTTTGTACACATTCTCGCGTGATTTTCCGCCAGATGGCGTGATTTTTGTCCGGGAATTGGTGTGAATCAGATTTTCAAATTCAAATTTTTTTTTACTTAGCGGGCTAAAAAAACAACTACAAGGCAAAATGTATGTACAGTAACACCATCCACCACCTATTTTACCCTTCACCCATTTCACCCACCACCCAGATAACCCAGATTAAAAATTATCCATCAGGGATTAGGAAAATTGGCATAATTGTATGCCATGCGCACAGAGTAAATATGGCAGTCTTCTGTACAGTGATGCAGGTCATACATTAAATAATGTTCATTAATTTTTTTTCTCTTAGACATTGGAGAGGTGCATTTAAATGTTATAGAGCTAAACATGTTAAATTGGTGACCTGTTAAGTTATTATTATTGTCTTGTTGCTGCATTTATTTTGTCAGGAAAAACTAATCCTGAGTCAATTAAAAGTCAGGGAATTCTAAAATTATGTAAGACTGTGGAAACCCTGAATAAAATAACTACCGTATGTATAATGACTCTCTAGAAAGGTCACATTATAATAATAGTATTATCTTGTATAAACATAACGTGACTCTAAAATAAAAGTTATTCATTTGTGACATTGACTTCTGTCTTGTGATTTATCTAAAGTTTTTAACCTGTCAAGTTTTATTTTTTAGATTTTTATCATTACAGTTTATATTTTTCCAAGCACGCAACAGTTTAAAGCAAAGTTTAGTTTGAAAAGAATGTGCAGGAAGGATTAAAAAGCATGTTAACACGGTAATGTAGGCTTGAGTTCATTATCGGACGAATGCATATACACACTAGGAACCTGTAGACTTAAAAAAAACTGAATTACAAAAAACATTACAAAACAAAAACATGTTTCATTGATGTATATACAAAAATGAATATTAGGAACTATATTTATCAAACATTATACTGGGCAAGTAAAAATTGTTTCTGGGCAAATGAAATGTGAAAGTCACTTGCCCGAAGGGCAAGTGGAAAAAAATCCTTAACGTCAACCCCTGGTTAATGTGTGTTAATCAGATTATTTTTTTCCTTTTAAAATCTTTACATTCACAGAAATATTTGGTTAGGAGCTAGAACATTTTTTTTTCACTCTGATTTATTGATTACTCCAAAACCAATTAAAAGTGTAACCATGGAATTTAAACAAAACATCTGTGGACCTAACCATTCTGAACTTCGTACTTTAAACCTTGTGCTGACATATGGCATTGATTGTAAATAAATAGTAGTATGTCTTTATAGCTGTGTCCCACCATTTCCTTGAATGCTGAGTTTATTTCAACATCATAATCATAAATAGACAATGGTGTATCATAAGAAAAACACTGCAGAGAGCATCCATTTAATTCCTCCCTTTTCCCAAATTAACACTTCTGTTCATAGTTCCTTTTCCTCACTGTGTTTTGTACAATTTGAGAGAAACAATAAATTAAATTTTATTTTATTCTAAAATGTATTTTAATTGAAACATTTATCTTATTCTATTTTTATGTGTTTATGTATTTTAGCCTTCAGCTTTTATCTTATGTCCTTTAACTGTGATTCATGTACAGCACTTTGGTCAACCCCGGTTGTTTTAAATGTGCTTTATAAATAAAGGTTGAGTTGAGTTGAGAAAGATAAGAGTTGCCAGGAACTTACGTGGCTGAGGTGAAGACTTGTTTCTCTGGCGGCAGCTGGTGTCCATTAAGATAAAAGATCATTTGTTTTTTGTTAAGATCCAACAAGAACCCAATGGCATCTCCTATGTAGAACAAATGAAGCACAGAGATCAGAAACATGGCATCAATGTTTTCACCGAGCATAAGAGCTGAGTCAGTAGCTGAATAACATCCAGACATGTATATAATTTTAACAACCAAATGTTTTAAGTCTATTTAATGTCATGTTCATTTATGAAATGATTTTTTTTCCCCCATGTTAATCCTTAATCAGAGAGTTTGCAAAGAGAGAAATTTAAGTGCATACCCTCCTTCCAGCAAGGATGAGAATGAGGTTTACTCCGAGCATTGTACCAGATGAGCTGCCTGCAGCCATCATATGCACATGAATATTCATCATCTCCAATCCCATAACCTTCCTGTGGAAAGAAATACAATAACTTATACAAATGCATCTTCACAAAAGAACAATATGGACAAAACTTGGTGGGGAAGTACATGGTTCAGGAACTTGCTGTCTTTGGTGGCCCATCCAATCTGCATCACCCCTGAAGTAATCACCGTCACCTCATAGTACCAAACTCCTGAATCCACACAGAATGTACAACGCACACTCTCAAAAGAAGAGGCGTCACATCGTGCCTGCAGAAGAGTAAAGGCAAAAAAGTTTAATTAATTACCAAACAGAAAAAAAGATAGCTTTTTCTTCATATTCTTGGAGAAAAACCTTCAAGCTTTATCAAAGATTTTGCTGCTGAACTCTACATATTTCAGCTACACAGTATAATCACAGGTATCAATATCAGTTTGTCCAATACTGCAATCACAAAGTACTTGGAACCAAATCGTGGATTTGGTATTATATAATATTTCTGATGTAATAACATGAACAGCAATTGCCTTTTCTGTCCAGAGCTGATTTAGATTTGAACATCATTCTCCTTCTTAATGGGTCAGGACATTATGATGAGGAAGAGTGGGTGAATAAAAACTGACATCTTCATTCCAGTATCAATAAAAATCGCAATATTTTCCTTAATCTAAGCCTCTTCAAAGAACACACACAGACTAACCTCTAATCCCGTGGGGGAAATCTTGAGATACTCGCTGACGTCATTGCTGTTGAGCATTGCATTGATATTGGTGAGGTTGACTTTCTCGTAAGTGAACTGACGACCCTCTTTTAGGACTGGAGAGAAGAATCCAGAAAATACCATCAGTCTGGTACCGTTGTACCTCACCAGTCAGGTCCAGACTGCAACAGTTGCAAAGGTTTACTCACACAGGTTGTCGAGACTCCACTGTGAACAGAAACCGACCTGCCTCTTCAGGTAGTCTGGGTGGTCGGCCCATGACTCGAGGACAGCAAGTCGATCGCTGATGGAAGACTCAGAGACGGTGAGTTTGTTCTCACCTGAAAACAAGAAAATGGTTTTGTTCTGTTAGGCTGTAGTCCAATATGCTCCGATCAACAAGTCATATCAAAGCAGAGTGCACATGCTAATGATAGCTCAGCAATAAGGCAAACTATGCTGCAGGAGGCTTGTAGCTGCATGAGTCCAGTTAGGTTTATGTTTGGAAACTAAGAATTTAAAGTGGTGCTAAGCAGGACCATAGCAACTGTAGAACCCAGATACACCATGATGGAGCAGCACGCTGAAGCTGACCCGGACAAACCAGTTAAATATCTTGTATCAAGAAAACAGGAAGAAAAACAGAACAAATTGCTTCCTGGAATGTCATCGATGGGTTAGCGTTACCTCCCACCCCTAGGGCAATAAATAATTTTATTCACCAACAGTGATACAACACTTTAGACTGTGGTTAAGGCATTTGTCACTGACTGGCTTCCCAGGAACAGGCGATTCAAGCTGAACAGGAAGAGCCACAGTACATTGGCTGCATGACAGCTGACATACAGCACAGACAGGAAGCCTGTACTCTGCGGCCCAGCTTCACCATGATAAGTTTTAGCTGCAAAATGAGCGACCCTGATAACATGACCAAATGTCCCCGTTTTTGAATTACCTACAGCTCGCAAAAGCCATACTTTCAAATGTGCAACTTCTGGTGGCACAGCTTAAAGATACAGACCTTAAGTCTCCAATTAATTCTTAAAAATAATCATGTTAGGATTTCTCCCTCTCTTTCTCTGAGGCAGTTACCTCCTCAAAGAAGGTTATGTTTTCGGTCATTTTTGTTGGGTTGTTAGAGGGATTACCTAAAAAGTTATGAACGGGATTTAATGAAATTATCAACAGAGGTACCATGGGGCCATCTTTTATTTTTTGATGAGAATCCAGATCATATGCAAGTTTTAGCTTTAGGAATAAGTCACTATATGGGGTAACATTTACTGCTTAGCAGACATCTGCCTCTCTGTGGGTTCTTGTTATAAGTTGTTTTGCTAATTTATCAAGTTAATTTGTGAACACAGTCTTTAAGGCTAAGGTGTGGTTTTCTTCTTAAACATTTGACATCCTATCATGACAAAAGTAAAGCAAAAGAAACTCAAAGAGGCAAGAAATATGAGGAAGAAGGTTAAATGGGCATGCCATCTGTTGAGCTTGTAGCTCTAAAGAAAATGATGTTCCCTTTAATGAGAAATGTTAATAACCAACGATGATGGTGAGCGAACAGTAAACCTACTTGTCTGAGAGAACTTCTCCAGAGCGATGAGAGCAAACAGCATGACAGTTGGGTGGGAGTCAGCGCTCTGAATGAAGACAAAAAAACATGTCAAAAATAAACAATGTTCAGTCTGACAAACACCTCCTTTATGACAAAGATTCAGAGTACTGAAATGAAGGCTCCAATTAAAACAATTATCTTCCCAGCTTTTCAGGACTCCTCTGAATATAAAAAAACCCTAACCTATTTCCAACATCATGAGAAGGCCTGACATCCAGACCGCTCCCACGTGATTACCCAGCATGCATGTAATTCACACTGCAGATTCACATGCTCACAGGGAGTTTCATCCAATCAAACCTCCTATATGTAATAAATCACAAGCAGCCGGAAGTGCTCACCAAGCTCTCTAGAAGGTACTCCAGGGTTCCAGGACTCAACAACCCAATACTGGCTGGGCCTGAAAGTTAGGTTAAAAAAGGACAGTGGTGTTATTAATACTTAGAACAGTTTTAAGAGTTAATGATCAGCTGCTGCTGTTTCCCTGAATTCATGAGGAACTGATTCTGCATCACAAGATTGCCGAGTAACAAAGATAAGTACTAAGAAAAAAGTCCCAAAGCTAACATGTGACTTTACAATGCAGAAAATGTAAATCTAAGCAAAATAAGTAAAAAAAAAAAAAATCTGCAGTCTCTTATTCCAAGAGCATAACAATTCATTATGTTCAGAATCAGTGCAGGAGTTGTATATGCTGCTGACGTTACCTGCAAGTTTTTCTGCCAGGCATCCCAGTACAGCCGTGGTGTTTCTGTGTTTAGCAGGGTTAAGAGCATCCTGTTGGGCCACTGAAGCACTCAGACTCAACATGTCAGAGAGCTTCTGTAGAGCATCCTGGAGAAAGAGTATACAGTTAGTCTGAAAGCACTCATGCACATAAAGGCCCAAAGAGACCATTACAAAGATTATTTTGACTCAAAATTTCAGCACAAATAAGTGGGAAAAAATATTTCTAGAAGATCTATCAGGGAGCTCTGGATAAAGAAGAAAAGGGTCAGAAAACTATCAATAAAAGGGGATGATTCTTTATTCTCCTCTCATTAGTAAACGAGACGACCTAACTGAAAAGAGGAAGGAAATGGCACAGAACAGAAAAGACGCATCGTTTATTATCAATTCAAAAAGGAGCCGAAGATAAATCAACGGCTGTTAAGACAGAAGCTTTGTGATAGTTTCAAACACAGCCGAATGACTCAGACTATGTTATGATTCTCTAAGGTTATGGTCAAACCTTTGTAGGAAGAGGACACTCATCCAGGAGAAGGGTGATAACTGCAGGACCAAGAGGATCGTCCAATGGGATCACACGTATCAGAGACTGAACCACCTCGAGCCAACCGTCATCTGAGAGAAGACAGCGTTAGGATTAATCCCATTTAACATGCCACATGAAAGGAAATCCACAGGGCCTGGCTACAGAATCTGCTTCATTTATCAAACACTTTATTGCCCTAAAGGACCAAAGTACAAAACCACAAGGCCATAAAAGAAACCAAAATACAACATGAAAAAACAACCAACAATAAACAGAACGAAAACAGATAAAAACCAGAGGTAAAAGGAAATTAAAATACAATACAGAGGAAAATTTATATTCAAATTGAAAAGAAGTCACAGACTTGCTGAATTATAATGTAAATAACAATTTTTTATTAAGATTGTAAACTAAATTTATAAATACGGTTGTTTAAGATCCTTACAAATGTTTTAGCTTGATGCATTTAATATAATAAAGGATCTAATTTATTAAAACTTGTTCAGTTTTCTTCTATGCTGAACTACATTTAAAAGACTAATTGTTCCTCCTCAAGCATAAAAGATTTCAGATGGAAGATGATTGAGGAAACAGTACGTGAGCCAGTAATTAACACAATCTCCTTTATGAATAATGCAACAATGCACCTCATCAGGCTGGCTTCACAGTACAGGATCAGAGTTAATAACCAACACGGGACTGGGGCTTAGAAACAAACCCAACCTGAACAGAAACATTCAGGATCCAAAAAACACACCAGACGAGCAGAAAATGACCAGAAGCAAAAGGAAAATAAGGCCATATCATAAAGTGTCAACTAGCAGAAATAACTGTAATCATGTTGTATTAGTGACATTAAAATAAGATTCAGAGCAACAGAAGGCTGTTGTTCTTTGGAGACTTGCATCCAATGTGGACAACCTAGATGTCCATGTTGCTCCTCACCCTGCCTCTTCCCACACCAGCCACATCTCAGACAACTTCCTTTAAAGGTAGTAAAAATGGGTCAAAATCACCCCATGAAGAGGTTTCAGCAAAGACAACTGCTGGTTCTTTAAACCTACATACCAGTTTGCTCCAGAAGGGGCCTGTTGACTTACTGGAGCTCTGCTGAGATCCAGGAGCTAATGAACTCTCTTGCCAACAGGTCAAACCTAACTTTAAAACAGCATTTTACTGTGTAAGCTTTCAAAAAAAAAAAAACACGTTTTATTACAGTTACCATGCTGACCCCCTTACTGATCACATTTCAGAGCATTCATGTTTCAAGATCATGTTTTACTTGAGTCTGCAGCCCCTTGTTTGCATTTGCTGAGGAGAATCGGCTGTTTGTCTTACCGGTCTCTGCCATTTCATGCAGGGTGATCATGGAATAAGGAGGCTCCTGGTCACTGAAAGAAACAACAGGTATGATATAAAATATGTTGATATAAGCAATGCTTATTACTATCAGCATTCCTGCTGACTTTTGTGTAAAAACATTCAGACGTTCCTTATACTGTATCTAACCGGCAGTTGCATTCAGGTACTTCATCAGGTTACAGTCAATTAAACAAGTTCCCTAATACTGAACTGATTCGGAGCAAACCTGGAGGTTTGGAGGAACCTGCATGTACTACAGCTGCATAACTGTAGCTATAGAGCTCACAGAAAAAATACAGCTGCCGAATAACCTCCACTTCAACCCGCTTAGGGAATAGTTATTATGTTCAAGGCTGAATTTGCCGTTTCAATATCAGAGAAGCATTGGAGCACTTTCCATCACAAAAAAGATTGAAAGTATAAAACAAGATCCAATCAAAACTCAATGCCTTTCTAACCTAACTGATTCAGTACCAATAAAACCAAAACCTGTAAGGACGATGCAGTGTTTTGCTTTTACTTTTTCAACTTAATGTGATTTATGCCACTTCATTTGTTTACTTTAACCAAATTCCCCATTTTCATTTTTCATTACATTACATTGTAATGAGTTTTTTTGAACTAGTATTTTTGAAGCTCTTTTTGTTTATTGCTCTTCTGTTGTTGTTTTTTTGTTTTTTTACCCAGAAAATGGGTAAAAAATGTAAAAAAAAAAAATAAATAAATATTTCAATTATTATATTTTGGACAAATAGCCTGGCTCTGGAGTTACAAAATAGAAAAAAATAAATACTTTCAAAAACTCCAAAACAAAAAACAAACATGCTGATGGCCAGTTTGCCAAAACAGGAGGTAAACCATTTCAACCCGATCTCAATGGCATCTGATGTCATCGGATGTAAACTCTCTGGTGATCATATTCACCCAGCATTCAAAATGTTACTGTGAGGCGATTGACGTGGGGTGGGTGAAAATGAAGCTGGTTGGGCAGAATTGAGACTCCTTCAGTCCCGCAGCGAGGACCGTCTCAATTTTCAGTTGCTACATCTTCTGCTTTCAGAGTGAACCATTTATTTCCCAGGAAAAAGATGAAGCTCTCCTGTAGAATATTTTTTCTCCCTTTAGATTTTCATGGAGAAGATGGAAAAAAAGGGAAAGAAATCTAAAGCTTGTTTTTCCTTTTTTGGTTTTGTGCAACAAAATGAAAGAATTAATGGTTTGTTATCCGTTTTCTCGTTTTGGTTTAATAAATAAAAAACAAAAATTCTAGTGTTTTTTTTTCATGTTTGGTTTCAAACAAAAAAAACTAACTCCCTGATTATACACTGGCCCATCAGCCCAGGAAATGTTTGATTAGAGGAGCTGATCAACATAAGAGTCCAGCAAATGTACTCCCCTTGAAAGCCAGCAGCAGATTAAGGAAACAGGAGAGGAAGGAAGAACGGTGCCTCATCATCTCCACATTAGCTCATCTTGCTAAATCATTACAGAAAGTAATCATAACAACAAGGCAGAGCAAACAAAACAGCTGCCACCAAGTCTTCATCCTATTCTGGTCTATTGTCACTGAACGCTGGTAGAATACAAATGCCATGTTTATTCATGCTTTATAAGCTCACAAGTTATTAATTGAAAATTGGCCTTTTTTTTATTAACACATTTGCTAGATTATTTTGTGTATGATGATTTTCTTTTCTCTGAAGAGACATTCTCATCCAAAGGAAAGCATTTGCATTTAAAATGCATGGCATACAGGGAAAAAACAAAAAGATAATCAGTGAAATCGTAAAATAGTAGAAAAATCTGTTTCCATCTTTATAACATACTAGACTTACTTGTCTACAAGTGTCCTGATAACAGCCAGGGTGTCCAGCACCAGACCATCCACATTTTGCTTCTTCCGTCTTGGCTCATGAGGCCCTCTGCCTCTGCGAGGCGGCCGGACCGGATCTCTGGGCCGACTGCTTCTGTCTCCAGCATCCACGCCAACAGATGTGCTGTGATCCACCCGTCTGGCTTGTGCTAGAGTCCCTCGTGATGATGACCCCTGATGGTGGTCCTCTAAGTCGCTGTCATCTCTGCACACACAGCTGTTACCCATGGTTCCAAAGCTGGAGACCACACTAGCAAGGGTCTCCAAGGATGGAGGCAGGGGTTTCGAAGAGGAGAGAAGGAGCACAACCTGAGCAAGGCTCCTGCAGGCACAGAAAGTGATCCAGGCAGCTACTATCATATCATTTGCAGAACTTTGTTTTCGGGGCTCTTGTCTCTGTGGGCTGGGTGGGGTCAGTGTCAAGTATCATTCTGCTGCCAAGATGAGGTTCGTTTGGGATTAACAACACATGGTTTGTTGAGTGGAAAAACTGGAGACAGATGAGAGAGCGAAAAAAGCTCCAGACATCATTGATGGGTCCAAGTTCCGGTAAAATCTTAATCTGGTCTCGACTGGCTGTAAAAACAACAAAAAAAGCAGATAAGGAAATGTGAATCTCCATAAGTTAATTTGATCATAATAACATACTGCAAGAACTGCATGAATTGAGAACAGATATGGGAAACCTATAAATAAAAGTGCTTTTATATAAAATTAATTACACGTGTATTTGACCTTCAATCGTTTTACATTTTAATATGAAAGTGTTTCTAACCCTAACTATTTTTAAAGTGCTTTGGGCCATGTATACAATCATATCATTTTCTAAACAGTGTACGGTAGTCAAGAAGCCAGTCAATAAAGTATCTCTGAATTATAAACATGGTTGGAGTCCATTTCCTTCATGTGGATCAGTTTTAAAGACTATATAACCGAGCCGATATCATTTAAAAGATTACAGAGGAAGAAAGACATATGTACTTTGAAATTAAAAGTCCACTCCAAGAAAGTTGTGATTCATCTGCAATCCATATATCTAAGAACCTCTGGCTTACAAGTTAGCTGTGACATCTTACAGTGAAAAGCCACAATAACATCGGGTTCCCCCCATATAGATGATACACTCACTAAATATTATTATATCTCGTGCACAGGAGGAATTTAAGAGGCATTTCTGCGACCGAATGTGTACAAATGAACAACGTTGACACGTAATGGAAGGCAGTAGCCCAAAGTGTTCTGGTTTCGATATCTAAACCCTAGGTTAACATACTAATTAAAAATATTGAGCTGCTAACGCGATTAATATCCTAAAATAATTGTTTTACCTTTATCAATATATTTAGAATGTAATGTTATGCAAGTCATTAAACCCACTACTAAACGAATCGTTACAAATATACTGGAGGATTTTTTTCCTGTTATTGATAGTTTACATTCAGAATATAAACCAATAATGTATCTGAGTTAGTCTTTAATATGCATTATGGTCAATTGTCATCACACATTTGTTAACAAACAGCTTTTTCACTTAAGCTAGCCCTTAGCTAACGCTATAACGTAGAACCAAGTAAAACTCAGTTCAACTCCTAATTTTAAATGTGACAGCAATGGAATTGAATTCAAAATATAAGAAAGTATACTTACTGAGGTGAAATATGAAACGACGTGAATCCACAACGAAGCAGCTAACAGAAAAGCTACGTTGTCCTGTGGCTAGCCTGCTAACTGTTAGCCTAGCTTAACAGCAGTTAGAAACTGTAAAGTTAAGCTAATTAACCAAACTCCGCTGGGGCAGAGTCGCACTTTTACACCTCCTAACTCTAATCTACCTCAGCTGTATATTCTGATATAAAACAAACATGGCTAGATAACACAACAACGGAGAGACTAGACACGGCTAAGCTAGCTGATTGGTAAGTTCCGCGTAGCTTGAGCAGTAAAAGGTTGGTCATCATCATCGTCATCTTCTTCTTCTTCTGTTGTGAGTTTGGAGGTGAGGCTGAGGGAGGAGAGAAGATACAGGAAGACTTCTTATATATACTATTAATTTCTTACTCAGATCTGCCTTTTTTCCTCCTAATCAACATGAACTGCATTATCTGCCTGTTAAACCTGTCTTTGATTTAAGAATGTTTTTTGTTTTCCCTGTTTTTTGTGCTGAAACCTCATTTGCTGCATCTTGAACCTGCTGGATGGTTTGCTTTGCAGTGTAAAAAAAACCCAAACAATGAATTTGACTTAATGACCTAACATGGTTTTATGACATTCATTTTTCATTCAAATTACTTTTAATCGGACAACCTTAGCCTCACCTTAACCTCACCTTAACCTTAGCATATGCCCATTTATTTAATTTTTTTGTCTTCATCTTCATGTTTCTCTATAAATGTCTGAATGGATTTTTACCAAAATACACTATATTGCCAAAAGTATTTGCTCACCCATCCAAATTATTGGAATCGGGTGTTCCAATCACTTCCATGGCCACAGGTGTATAAATTCAAGCACCTAGGCATGCAGACTGTTTTTACAAACATTTGTGAAAGAATGGGTCGCTCTCAGGAGCTCAGTGAATTCCAGCGTGGAACTGTGATAGGATGCCACCTGTGCAACAAATCCAGTCGTGAAATTTCCTCGCTCCTAAATATTCCACAGTCAACTGTCAGCTGTATTATAAGAAAATGGAAGTGTTTGGGAACGACAGCAACTCAGCCACGAAGTGGTAGGCCACGTAAACTGACGGAGCGGGGTCAGCGGATGCTGACGCGCATAGTGCGAAGAGGTCGCCAACTTTCTGCAGAGTCAATCACTACAGACCTCCAAACTTCATGTGGCCTTCAGATTAGCTCAAGAACAGTGCGCAGAGAGCTTCATGGAATGGGTTTCCATGGTCGAGCAGCTGCATCCAAGCCATACATCACCAAGTGCAATGCAAAGCGTCGGATGCGGTGGTGTAAAGCACGCCGCCACTGGACTCTAGAGCAGTGGAGACGCGTTCTCTGGAGTGACGAATCGCGCTTCTCCATCTGGCAATCTGATGGACGGGTCTGGGTTTGGCGGTTGCCAGGAGAACGGTACTTGTCTGACTGCATTGTGCCAAGTGTAAAGTTTGGTGGAGGGGGGATTATGGTGTGGGGTTGTTTTTCAGGAGCTGGGCTTGGCTCCTTAGTTCCAGTGAAAGGAACTCTGAATGCTTCAGCATACCAAGACATTTTGGACAATTCCATGCTCCCAACTTTGTGGGAACAGTTTGGAGCTGGCCCCTTCCTCTTCCAACATGACTGTGCACCAGTGCACAAAGCAAGGTCCATAAAGACATGGATGACAGAGTCTGGTGTGGATGAACTTGACTGGCCTGCACAGAGTCCTGACCTCAACCCGATAGAACACCTTTGGGATGAATTAGAGCGGAGACTGAGAGCCAGGCCTTCTCGTCCAACATCAGTGTGCGACCTCACAAATGCGCTTCTGGAAGAATGGTCAAAAATTCCCATAAACACACTCCTAAACCTTGTGGACAGCCTTCCCAGAAGAGTTGAAGCTGTTCTAGCTGCAAAGGGTGGACCGACGTCATATTGAACCCTATGGATTAGGAACGGGATGTCACTTAAGCTCATATGTGAGTCAAGGCAGGTGAGCAAATACTTTTGGCAATATAGTGTATATCAGACTCTTTTTCCATGTATCAACTGCCTAGAATTTGGAATCAGTGTAGTATTTTTTTTAATTTTTATTTTAAATGAATTTACAAAAAGGGTTGATCTTTTCTAAACATGCTGCCATATTGGGTTTAAATATTTAGGTTGGTGACGAACATGGACTTGGAATATTTTTTTTTTTCATTTCTGTGGAGCTTTCTATTATTTTTTTCCAAAACCAAATAAATTTGAGATGAAGTTATGAACAGAATTACAACTACATCCTTTACCCAATCTGTAAGAGTCAAATTTGATTTGTCTTTAATCACATCATCCATGGAAAAATTACATAATAAATGTATTAGCAGTGGCAGAGACAGTACTATCTAAAGTTATTCCTGGAGAATACCACACCACACACTGTTCATGTCCAGCTCTATGTTCCAGCTTTATTAAACACAACTTATGATAACCTCATATTTAGTTCAATAAGTGTATTTCAGTGAATTAGCACCTCCAACACCTTTATAATTAGAGAAAGGCTGTAATTAGAGCCAGGCTTGTTCAGAATGTGCGTTTTAAGCCGGTGCGGCTGTGGTCCAGTGAAGTATTAAAGGAATTATCCCGAAAATTTCCTCCAAGGCTCAGCTGCTTAGAAAATGTCTGGTATCTTGGGTAGTACCGACATGGTGAGCTCTCATAGGTTGGAGGATGATGCCCGTAGTCACTTGAAGTTGTCTTGAAAAGGAGACTTTTGAGCTTCATCGTTGTGGATTCTCCTTTAAAATTCGAGTTGATCATGCAGGAGAAAACTGGGTTTCCAGGGTTGTTGCACGTGCTTTGGTTTTCAGCCATCTGCTGCTGAGGGGCTGACATCTCTGCTGTGCCTTTAAAAGAATTAGATAAAAAATAAAGGCTTAAAGCAAACCTTTTTTGATCTCCTTTTGATTTATTAAACAGGTAAACATGCACAATTTCTATTTTTTGAGATTTACCTTACTTATTAATCATTATTTGATTTATTTATTTATTTATTAACACAGCTGAAAGAAATGGCAGTGAAGGCCTTGAGAATAAGCTGGAGGATATGGATGGATGGATGGATGGATGGATGGATGGATGGATGGATGGATGGATGGATGGATGGATGGATGGATGGATGGATGGATGGATGGACGGAATCAAAATGATAAAACCATAGGAATTAAGAGGGGAGATTTAGTTTCACCCAGTAGCTGGTGAGTAAATCATTGACTCCAGGTTAAGGGAAAACCAAATAAAGAAAATCAACACAAAAAAGTTGAGAAAAAACAGAATAACCTAACCGGATTAATTGGAGAGCTTCTTTCTTTAAAAAAAAAAAAAATACAGCAGTATGACTTTTGCTTGGAGGGCTGGTATGACCACTGTCATCCAACTCCTTCCCAGAGGTGGTTCTTTGTGACATTAGCTCAGTTTAATAATGAAAGAATCCAAGATCTAATTATTAAAATGTTTTGTCTGTAACTGTCTGTATGTGTGTGATAACTTTTTTTTTTGTTTGTTTGTTTTTTAGCAGAATCAACGATCATTCAGATCAGTTGCTTATGCTCCTTTTTTTTTAGTTCATCCATAAAATGTTTATAGTGGTGACCAGGCAGGGACCAATGTGCAATGAGGGGTGGCTGAAAACTGATGGATGCCAAAACCAGTTCAGGGTCAATCTATGCTGATCCCAATGAACCAACGCACGCAATATCTATAACTCACAGATAAATCCATTAACATCAGATTTTTCATGAGGCCCTTGCTAATGAAGCTAAGCACATATTTATACATGGGCTCTGTTTAAATAAGTTAGGCTCTACATAATATGCACATTAAATGGGTTGATCCTGGTGGTATCTCTGCTGCCACTCCCTGGTTTAGAGGAGAACTGCTTGTTCCAGAGACGTTAAATTACCTCCACAAGAGAAACAACAAATCACCCTGGCAGGATATTTGATATGTGATGCTAGATTACTAGTTAAGTTTTACTTTCTCAAAACAAAAACAAAAAAGAAAGGGAGAGAAAGAAATTGCATACCAAAAAAACAAAATATGCCTTTCATGAGAGCCCTGTGGGTCCCTAATGTTGCTCAGTGCGTCAAAGCCTCAAAGCGGAAGTGCTCCTAACCTAACCTTCTGCCTTTGGTTGCTATTTCATTTTAATAATACATATTTATAAAAGAATGGAGGACTAGGGACCAGGTCGTCGTAATTACCTGCAATTGCAAGAATTCCGCTTAACAGCCGCGTTTCCCTGACCTGCCGGTTCGCTTGTTTTACACAGGATGCCTAATGGAAGCGACCAGTTTCCATGGAAACAGGGCCGTATAGAAATGAGTCGTTGAGGGACAGTCTGCGTGGAGGCGTAGCCAGAAATTTTTTTATGAGGGTGGCCAGGCAATAAGCAATGTACACTGAGGGGTGGCTGAAAGTAGATACACTGGAAAGAGTATAAAGTTGCTCAAACTAAAAAAATGGTGTCCAGATATCACATCTAAAATATTTGACTTCACAGAATCTGAATTTAATCACTTATATCATATTATGTTGATGTAAACAATAATACTGCACAACTTAAAATCTTTGCCCTGTTTCAAATGATTTTCTTAACATTTCAGTTGATGAACCAAACTAATATATTGACATTGGACCAACCTAATATACTTACTTTTAACTAAATTAACAATAATTAATGTTTGTATAGAAACCAGTCAAATTAAATATAAACAAATTAGATTTTTGACATATCATTTGACTTTACTTCAAAATAACTTCCATTTCGCATCTTACAATCCCTACACATCCTGGACAGGTTACCAGTCCATCACAGGGCAATACAATTTAGAGAAGCCAATTAACCTATCAGTAATGTTTTTGGACTGTGGGAGTCAGCTGGAGTACCTGGAGAGAGCCCATGCATGCTCAGGGAGAACATGCAAACTCCATGCATTAATATCCCAGGCCAAGAATTGAACCAACAACCTCCTTGCTGCAAGGCAGCAGCACTAGCAACTGAGCCACACTGTCATGATCTGGGACTTGGACTTGGAATGCATTCAAATCGCAGTTGACATTTGACTCAAACAAAAAACATTACCTGCAGGGCATGAATAAATATACACATATTGAGAGAAATCAAAAACTTTGTTTTGGGTTCTTTGTACGTGTATTTAGTCAGGTTAAATCAAACTTGATGTCTCAAAATCCAAAAAGAATGAGTTACACAATCAAATCAACAATTTTATCTAGTTTAGAGTGAAAAGCATTAGTTTGAATGAACAGTTACATGTTAAACTTTTTTCAGTGTAGGCACCAA